ACACCAGGTAAACCTGCCCTGGATACTCCCACACCACTTAACACCTCTTTCCCCGCACCACCTTTCCCCGAGCCTCCCCCGAGCTTGTGACCAGGAGTGCAAGGACTAGGCCCGGCAGCACCAGGTACGGCAGCTTGCTTGGTGATAGGCACGGTGACAGGCACGGTGGCAGGGTCGGCGAAAACGTGTAGGCTCGTAAACTCTTGCGGCACAAAATGCGGGCGAGTGATAGGAACGGAAGGGAAGGCGAGAGGAGGGGCTGGTGCTGTGGCAGTTACGGATGGTGCGACGGCTGGATGGGTGAAAGGAACAGTGTTCATGTCCAGAGATGAGGTTGGGGCAGTGGGTGGGGAAATGGGAGAGGCAGCGGGAGTGGCGGTGTTTGGGGCAGTAGGAGGGGCAGCGAGTGGGGCAGGCAGCATGGCACGTGACTGCTGGTGCCTGTGAAAGAGGGAAGGCAGAGGGCCAAGCTTGTTTAGAGAACCATTCTCCTTCTCACATGATCCCTCAGCTGCACCCTTCTCACAGGGGTTTAGAGGAGTTTCCAAGGCCTTCCCACGTGCAGAAGGAGCAGGGGGGGCAGGGGGGGCAGGGGGGGCAGGGGGGGAAGAGGGAGAAGAGGGAGGAGTGGGAGCAGGGGCAGCAGGGGCAGCAGGGGGAGGAGAGGGAGCAGGGGGAGAAGAAGAAGCGGGAGAGGGAGGTAAACGGGATTGCACACTCGTAGCTTGCCGCTTTCGAGGAGTGCAGCAATTGGCGTCAGTAGGAGGAGAGGAGGAGCGATGGGAAGGTGAGGAGGGAGTGTGGGAGGGGGGAGAGGGGTCATGAAGAGGAGGCGAGCAGGAGTGGTCCGAGAAAGAAGTAACTGTTTTTCTAGATTTCTCAAACCCTGGCCAGGGAGGAGGAGAAGGAGTGTGAAGAGGAGGCGAGCAGGAGTGCTCGGAGAAGGAAGGAGCTACTGCGGAGACGCAGTCAGCTCGTCGCTTCTGAGGAGTGAGCTCGTGGGAGAGGTTGGAGGGAGGAGGCCGAGCAGCACCTGCAGTCCCAGCAGCCCCAGATTTGATTCTAGAGGCACTTTTTCTGGACGCACGCTTGGCGTTTCTGTTGGGGGTGGTAGTGGTGTTGTTGTTGGTGGTGGTGGGAGCACAATTACTGATAGAGGCAGCAGCACCAGCGGCGCTGCTGTTGCTGTTGAGGGAAGATGATACGGCCTGAGGCTCCATCCGCCACTCCTCCTGTGATATGAGGCGCCTCAAAGCAAGCCCCTTCCCGGTTTCTTCCTGCCCTCCCCTCTCCAACGCTTCCTGCTCCTCTCCCCCCTTCGACGCCTTCTTCCTTTTATGCCCTCCTCTCTCTCCTCCCTCTCCTCCTCCATCCCCTCGCCTCTGTCCCTCTCCATCCCCTCCTCCCTGCCCTCCTCTCTGTCCCTCTCCATTCCTTCCCTCCAGCCCTCCTCTCTCTCCCTTCCCTTCTTCCAACCTCTTCCCGCCATCCACCACCACTCCTAACCACTGTCGAATATCCTGCAACCGCCCCCTTGTCTTCCTTCCCCCACTCCCTCCACCCGTCCTTGCCCCCCCACTCCCCCCACCTGCCTTCGCATCTGCACTTCCCCCAGCACCACCCCCTCCCGTCCTCGTTCCTGCACTCCCCCCTCCAGCCTTCGCATCTGCATTTCCCCCAGCACCACCCCCTCCCGTCCTTGTTCCTGCACCCCCCTTACCTGCCTTCGCACAAGCCACCCCACTCACTCCCGTTGCTGTTTCCTCCCCACACGTTGCTTCCTGCATGACCCCCTGCCGCAGGCTCCCTGTCTCTGCCTCTCCCACGCTCCCCACTCCCGCACCCCCTGCTCCCATATCCGCCACACCCGCACCCTCCCCTCCCACACCCCCATCTCTCGACTGACTCACAGGCTTCTTACCAGACCTTTTCAGGAAAAGCGCTGCTATGCCGCTCTGAACTGTTCTCTTTTTCATGTGCTGAGACGGTCCCTGAGGGGAATCAACAAGTGCTGCTACATTCCTCTGCACTGCCCTCCCTTTTGTGTGCTGAGACGATCCCTGAGGGGAATGAACACCCGCTGCTTTGCCGCTCTGCACTGTCTTCTTTTTCGTGTGCTGAGACGATCCTTGAGGCGACTCAACAACTGTTGCTACGTTGCCCTGAGATTCTCGCCTCTTCTGTTTCTTCTTCTTCCTCCCTCCAACCCCCTCGTCCTTCTCTCTAACAGGAGACCTTGCACTGCCAATTTCTGCTCCTCCTGCTCCTGCTTCTTCTCCTGCTCCTCCCCCTTTCCCTTCCGCAAATCCGTCCTTCAGTAACCCTTCTGCCCCTGCATGCAGCCCTTCTCCTCGCTCTTTCACCCCATGAGCTTCCGTACAACCAGGCTGCCTCTCCCCTTCCACGCCCCCTCCCCTGCCCCAGTTGCCCTCTTCCCTTGTTCTTTTCCTGCATCCCACCGTCCCTCCCACACCCTCATCCCCCTCCCCACCTTCTCCCTCCGCCTGTTCACCCCACTGCTTCTCTCCACTTCCCTCAGTCTCCCCCCCCTCCTTCCCAGTTTCCCTCCCCTTCTGCTGCTTTCCAACATCCTCTGTATGCTCCATCTCCCTTCGCTCCTTCTCTGACGCTCGATGCACCACACCTTCTTCCTCCAGTCCTCCCTCTTCTTCTTTCGCCTCTCCCTCTCGCTCTTCCTCTTCCTCTTCCGCTCCCTCGTTTGCCAACTCATCCTTCCTTTCCTGCTCCTCTTCCTCCTCACTTCCCTCTTGCCCTTCCCCATTTCGCTGCTCTTCTCTCTCCCCAAAGCTTACTCCAAATTTCCCTCTCACTCCAACTCCCGCTTTCTCAATTCGCTCCTCGATCTCCTGAACCTCTCCTTCTTCCTCTCCTTCCTCTCCCTCTTCCTCTCCTTCCTCTCCCTCTTCCGCTTCCTCCTCCCCATGCTCTTCCTCGTGACCCTCTTCCGCTTTCACTTCCGCTTCCTCCTCTCCTTGCCCTATCTCCCGACCCTCTTCCTCTCTCTCTTCCTCGTTATCTCCCTCGTCCGCATTCTCCTCCCCTTGCTCGATATCCTCCATTGCAATCAGGAGCTCTTCTTCCACACCCTCACCGTCAACATCTTTCCCTTCCTCCTCTCCCTCTTCTCCTTCCTCCACCTCCTCCTTCCTTTCCTCCACCTCATCTTTCCTTTCCTCCACCTCCTCTTCCCTTTCCTCCTCTCCCTCCTCCCCTTCCTCTGCCTCCTCCTTTCTCTCTTCCACCTCTTTCCTTTCCTCCACCTCCTCTTCCCTTTCCTCCTCTGCCTCTTCTCCTTCCTCCGCCTCCTCCTTCCTTTCCTCCACCTCCTCTTTCCTTTCCTCCACCCCCTCTTCCCTTTCCTCCTCTGCCTCTTTCCCTCTCTCACACTCCTCCCCTTCGTCAATACCATCCACTAAGTTCACGACCCTTTCTTCCTCTTCCTCCAATTCCTCTCCCTCTTCCCCTTCCTCCTTATCTTTCCTTTCCTCCACCCCCTCTTCCCTTTCCTCCTCTGCCTCTTTCCCTTCCTCCGCCTCCTCCTTCCTTTCCTCCACCTCCTCTTCCCTTTCCTCCACCTCCTCTTCCCTTTCCTCCTCTGCCTCTTTCCCTCTCTCACACTCCTCCCCTTCCTCAATACCATCCACTAAGTTCAGGACCCTTTCTTCCTGACCCTCCACTTCCTCTCCCTCTTCCGCTTCCTCCTTATCTTTTCTTTCCTCCTCTCCCTTTTCTCTCTTCTCGCCCTCCACCACCTCCTCTTTCCTTCCGTCCACTTCCTCTCCCTCTTCCCCTTCTTCCACCTCCTCTCTGTCTTCCTTCTCTCCCTCTTCCACTTCCTCACCCTCCTCTTTCCCTTCCTCTTCTCTCTTCTCCCCTTCCTCGCCCTCCACCTCCTCTTTCCCTCCCTCCAATTTCTCTCCCTCTTCCCCTTCCACCACCTCCTCTTTCCCTTCTTCCACTTCCTCTCCCTCCTCCCCTTCCTCCCTTTCCTCCCCTTCCTCTTTCTCTTCCTCCCCCTCCTTTTTCCCTTCCTCCCCCTCCTCTTTCCCTTCCTCCTCTCCCTTTTCCCCTTCATCACCCTCCACCTCCTCTTTCCCTCCCTCCACTTCCTCTCCCTCTTCCCCTTCCTTCACCTCCTCTTTCCCTCCCTCCACTTCCTCTTCCTCTTCCCCTTCCTCCACCTCCTCTTTCCCTTCCTCCACCTCCTCTTTCCCTTCCTCCTCTCCCTTTTCCCCTTCATCACCCTCCCCCTCCTCTTTCTCTTCCTCCACTTCCTCTCCCTCTTCCCCTTCTTCCACCTCTTCTTTCATTTCCTTCTGTCCCTTTTCCCCCTCAAAATCCTCCCCCTCCTTTTTCCCTTCCTCCACTTCCTCTCCCTCTTCCCCTTCCTCCACCTCCTCCTCTCCCTTTTTCCCTTCTTCTCCTTCCACCTCTTCTTTCCTTGCCTTCTCTCTCTCTTCCCTTTTCTCACCCTCCTCCCCTTCACCTTCTTGCTCACCCTCGTTCCCTTCCTCACCCTCCTCCTCCTCTTCCCCTTTCTCTTCCTCCTCCCCTTTCTCTTCCTCCTCCTCCCCTTTCTCTTCCTCTACCTCCTCTTCATCTTCCTTATCTCCTTGCTCCTCACCCGCAGCTTCTCCCTTTCCTTGGCCCCTTTCCCCAACCTCCGACCCATCCCCACCCCCCGTCCCTTCCTCCTCCCCTTCCTCTTTCACCCCTGCTGCCTCCCCATTCTCATCTTCCTCTTCCTCCCTCTCGTTTTCTGCCTCTCTATCCTCCTCTTTCGCCTCCTCTTTCGCCCCCTCTTCCCCCTCTTCTTCCCCCTCCTCTTTCTCCTCTTCCCCCGCATCTTTCTCCTCGTCTTTCTTCTCCTCCTCCTCCTCTTCCTCCTCCTCTTTCTCCTTCGCCACCTCATCCTCCTCCGTCTCCTCCTCCGCCTCCGCCTCTCCCTCACCATTAGTTCCATCCACTAACTTCTTCTCTTCATCCCTTCCTTTCTCTTCGTCCTCCGTCCTCCCCTCCTCTATACTTGCCTCCCTTTCCTCCCACATGTCCTCTTCTCGTTTCTCCTCCTCTATTTTCTCCTCCCTTTCCTCCTCAGCCCTTTTCTTCTCCCTCTCCTCCTTTCTCCCCACCACCCGCTGCTCATGATTCTCACACTCTCCGTTCTCCCCACTCCTGAAGTCCTTCTCTTCCTTCTTAGCATCCTCTCCCTCATTCCCTCCCCACTCTTCTACTCTCTGTTCCCTTTCCTCTCCTCCCATCTCCTCCCCTTCTTCCCCTTCCCCTTCCCTTTCCCCACTCCCATGCCCTTCTTCCATCTCCCCATCCGCAGTTCCCCCTTCCTTCCCCATTTCCTTCCCCCCCTCCTCTTCCCCACCTTGCTCTTCCGCTCCCTCTGTCCCCTTCCCACCATTTTCACCTCCCTTTCCGTCATTCTCCCCATCGTTCCCACTGTCGTTTCCCCCGCCCTTTTCCCCATCGTTCCCCCCATCATCATTCCCTCTATCACCTCCCTTCAACCCAGCTCCCTGCTCCCATACCTCCCCCTGACCTTCCTCCTCGCTGTGCCTCCCGTTCCCAGCTCCCTGCTCTTGTACCTCCCGTTGACCTTCCTCCTCGCTCTTCTCTTCCTCTTCCATCTCATCCTCCCCTTTCTCCTCCTCCCCTCCCTTCGCTTCCTCCTCTCTCTTCTCCTCCTGTCCTTTCCTTTCCTCTTCCATCTCCTTTCCTACCTCTTCCACTTCACTTTCCCCCTCTCCCCCTTCCACCTGTTCCGCCCCCTTATCCCCTCTCTCACCTCGCACCCTTCCCCCCCTTCCCTTCCCTCCTCTTCCCACTCCTCGCCTCACCCCCTGCCCTCGCTTCTTCTCTCCTATCTGCACCCCGCGCTTTCCAGCTATGCCCTGCATACCAGCCCTCGTAACCATCCGCTGTCGTGTAACCATTCCCCTGCCCGGATTCTCACATTCCTCCACTCCCCCTCGTGATCGAGTGCGGTGCAAGGAAGGACCCTCAACCGCAGCGTCGCCCTTCTTTCTTGCCCCTTGATTTGAATTCCTCGTCTTTCCATTGCCACTTCTCCTCTCCCTTCGCTCCTCCTCTTCCCCCTTTACCTCCTCTTCCTTCTCTTCCACCTCCTCCTTCTCTTCCTCCTCTACTCTCCCTCGTGACCGCGTGCAGCGAGGGGAACCATTCTTTCCTTTCTCACATTCTTGCTTCTGTTGTGGCGCCTCAAAAGCCTCCTCTACTCTCCCTCGTGACCGCGTGCAACGAGGGGAACCAATTATTCCATTCTCACATTCTTCATTCGCCTTCCCTTGGGCTTTGCCTCCCCTCCTACGTTCCACTTCTCCCCCCTTCACTTTCCCCACCCCCTTAGGCCGCTCTGGGACCAGCTTACGAGGATTCCCAGACTTGCGTCCGCGCCTGAGACTCATCCGTGCTCCCACCGCCTCGGCTTCTTCTCCTGAATGCTCCTTCCCTTCCATCTCCTTCCCTTCGTCCTTCCCTTCTACCTCCTTCACTTCCTCCTCCTCTTCCACCTCCTTCCCTTTCCCCACCCTTTTGAGACGTCCCAGCTCAATCTTGCAAGGCTTCGTGGGCTTGCGTCCACGCCTGAGGCTCATCCGCAATTCCGCTGCTGCTGCCGCTGCTGCTGTTCCCGCCAATTCTGCTGTTTCCGCTTCTCCTGCTGTTTCAGCCCCTTCCCCTACTGTCCCCCCTTTTTCCACCTCCTTCTCCCCCCGCTCTACCTTTTTAGGCGCCCCCAATATCGTCTGCATTCCCTTTGTAACTGCTGCTGCTGATGCTGATGCTGCTGCTACCGTTGCTGCTCCTTCCTCTTCTTCTACCTTGTCTTCCGCCTCCTCTCTGCTTCCTCCCTGCTTCTGTGTCTGCTGCTCTCTCCCCCCATCCCCAGCAGCAGCAGCAGCAGCAGCAGCAGCAGTGGCAGCGCCACCATCACTAGCAGCCCCAAGGGACGGCTGACGGCGGTTAATCCACCCAGTAGCAGTCAGCGGCTCTGGCGCAGCAGAATCACTCCCCCCCAGCAGCATATCTGCCAGGGACCCGAAGAAAGGATCAGCGGCAGCAGCGGCAGATTCAGGAACAGCAGCAGCGGCGGCAGCGCCACCAGCACTAGCAGGAGCAGCAGGAGGAGCAGAAGCCGCCGCGTTCGCAGCAGCAATGGCAGCGGCACCACCAGTAGCAGTCCCAAGGGACGGCTGACGACGGTTGATCCACCCAGTAGCAGTCAGCGGCGCTGGGGCAGCGGCACCATTCTCCCCCAGCAGCATGTCTGCCAGGGAGTCTAAGAAAATGTCTGCAGCAGGAGGCTTAGCACTGAGTGCATCTCCCCTTGGGCACTCCACACCTCCTGTGGTCTCAGACGCCCCTGCAAGGTCCCATCGCCTTGTTACCGATGTGGTAACTGTTGCTGTTGCTGCTGTTGCTGCCGTTGCTGCCGTCACTGCTGGTACTGTGGCTGCTGCTGTGCTTGCTGCACCAGTTTTTCCGTTCTCTTCATCGTCTTGACCATTATCAATAGTTTTTCGTGCCGCAGCATCAGCATCAGCATCACCTTCCTGATTCGACCCATTCGCTTGGTCCCCCCCAACCCCGCCTTCCCTGCTGCTTTCTTGAGTCAATACCAGCCTGCCGAGGCTGCTCTGCCGACCAATCAGCATGAACCCTCCGCTGCCCGAGCCTGATTTCCGAACCGCAGGTCCGTCGGCCTTCCCACCCACCCGAACCGCCGGCGCAGCTACGGAAGCAGCTGCCGAGGCATCTGGAGCAAGACTCCCCAGAACAGACACCGACACAGACACTGAAGCAGCAGCACCTGCAGTAGCAGCAGCAGCAGCTGCGGCGGCGGAGGCGGCAGCAGTGGCGGCGCCAGTGCTACTCACACTGCCCCCCTTGCCACTCAGTCTATCCCCAAGAACGCCATCAGCAGCACACCCAGCAGCACGCTTCCCAGCAGCCGCAGCAGCAGCAGCAGCACCACCACCACCACCAGAAGTGCTTCTTGGGAGGCCAAACGGAAGCTTCTGCTGCTGCATCGGGCGGCGGAAGGTTTTGGGCGGCAGGGAGCTGTGCCACTTGGAGAACTGGCTCACATTGTTTGTCTTCTTCTCACCCATGTACGGATGGTTCAACCCCTTCCTCTCTCCAGTGTAAAGACTTCGTTCACCGACTCCCTTGGCCTTTCCAAAGCCCTCTCCGCCTTCTCTTCTCCTACCCTTCAGCTCTGCTTTCAAACCTGCCTTTTCTAAAGTTTTCTCCACTTTCCGAGTGTATGGATCCTTCTCTCTTCCTCCTCCACCTTCTTCACCCCCTCCTCCTCCTCCTAATCCTCCTCCTGCTGCTGCTCCTTCCCTTCTCAATCCCAGGCCTCCCTTCTCTCCCTCCTTTTCCTTCCCTCCACCGACCCCCAACCCATGCCTTCTTGCCAGCCAGGCAGCATCCCCCACAACCTCCAACCCCTCTCTTCGCTCCTCTCCCGTCTCCCCCTTCCTCTTCTCCCTCCTATCCCCCTTCTCTTTTCCCTCCCCTCTCCTACTCCGCCCCACATCACCAACAAACTTTCCACTGCATCTGGGCACCTTTCGCCCTCCCTCCTTTTCCACCCCTCCAGACTCCCCCAAGGGACCCCGATAGCAGGAGGTAACACAGTCAGCCGCGTCGTTATTCTTTTCACCATCCCTTCTCCCTCCTTTTCCTCCTCCTCTTCCTCCTTCCCTTCCTCCTCCCCTTCCGCCATCCCCTCCCCTCCCACCTTCTGGACTCTTTCTTTTTTTCGACTCGGGCCGAGCAGAGGGACGGGCAAGAGGATGGGAGCGAGGAGGAGGAGGAGCAGGAGGCGGCATTGGTTGTTGGGTGGAGGGTTTAGAAAGCCAGTTGGATGTTTGACCTTGGGTCCCAAGCCTATTCTTTCCCAGGTTTGCAAATGCAGTGGCACCTGCACCAGATACACCTACACCAGATACACCTACACCAGATACGCCTGCTCCAGTAACCTTCAAGCCAGTACCGCCACCAGCAGCAGCTGCTGCAGCTTTCAGAATCCTCGCCGCCCGATTGGTCATATTCGCCACGTCCACAGGGGCGTTACCAGGAGCAGTACGAGGGACCCCGACATGCACTCCTGTACCAGCACTCCCAGCAGCACCAACACTACCAGCACCAGCACCAGCAGCAGCGCTATCAGCGGGTACACAGCGGCTGTATGGTCCCATTGGACCCAGTGACCCGTGAACATTAGGAGCACAGCTACCAGACCTTCGGCTCACACTGCCACTGTATCTCCCACTGCCCCGCGCACCCACCTTTCCACCAGAGCATTTTTCCGAGTACTGAGACGACTTCAGAGGCGCCTCAAAAGCGCTGCTGCGCATGCCTGCACCAGCAGAGCAGTTGCCAGAAGATTCCGCGCCAGCCTCACTCCACAGGCGCTGCTGCTGCTGCTGCTGCTGCTGCTGCTGGCGGTTTCGTGGCTTTTGAAACCCCTGTGACTGCTGCCATTTCTTCTCCTGACAACTCTGCCCTTGCCCCTCCCCCTGCCTCTCTCCCTCTCGCTGCTTTTCCCTTCTCCAATGCTGCTGCCCCTGTCTCAACCCTTGGAAGGCAGATGAATCAGGATAAGCTCGACCTAACCCACCTTTCTGCTGCACTGAGCCACGGGCGCCAGACCCCGCTATACTCACACTCTTGCTCTTGCTTTGGCAGCCCGCTATAGTCACACCCCGGCTCATGCCTCTGCTTCTGTGCCGTTCACTGGTCTGCTGACCTAATCGAACCCGCACCGATACCCCATTGAATGATACCTCTTCCTCCTCTTGCACCTCCCCTTGACCCTCCTCTTGCTCCTCCTGCTCATCGTCCCCCACTTCTCCCTCCTCCTCTCCTTCCTCCTCTCCCTCCTTCTGCTTCACTCCCAGATTTCCCTCCTCTTCCTCTCCTTCCTCGCCTTCCTCTCCCTCCTCTTGCTCCTCATCCCCCACCTCTCCCTCTTCCTCCTCCCCCACCTCTCCATCCTCCTTTCCCTCCTCTCCTTCTGCAGCTTCCTCCTGCCCCTGCTGCTGCTCCTTCTCCCCCCGTCTCTCCTTCCCCTCAGCCACAGCATCAAACGCTCCAGACAGATCACGCACAATCGTGGTGTGCCCAGTGTTATCCCCTCTATTACCATTTCCTTCCGAATTACCAGCATTCCCGCCCAGGATGTCATTTCCCTCTGGACAAGCAACATCCCCACCCGGACCAGCATTCCCGCCTGCCTCCGGAGGATCGATGGCTGTAGCAGGCTCTGGCACCCCTGGGTGGTAACCAGCTCGCGCTACAGCCGGGGGCGGAGGAGGGGCGATGAGAGGGCTGCTTTGGAAGCGAAGCTTGGAGAAGAGGAACGAGAGGAAGTTGGGAAATTTGGTGCGGTACCTGAGAGGGTCAGAGGGAATGTTATAAGGGACAGAGAGGGAAATAGACGTGAGCAGGGGTTGGTTAAAGGGCGATGAAGGGGCTGCTTGGAGAAGAAGAGCAGAGAGAGGAAGTTGGGGCACTTGGTGCGGTACCTAAGAGGTCAAGCACACGAGATATGAGGGGAAGGGAGATGGTGATGGAAGGGGAGGAAAACAGAAAGTCAGGGGTGGAGGAGGGGCAATGAAAGGGCTGCATTGGAAGCGAAGCTTGGAGAAGAGAAGCGAGAGGAAATTGGGGCACTTGCAGGTCTGCTTCTTCAAGGCATCTATGAGGACATAGATGAGCCTCCCCTGAATGAGCCTCCCATGGAAGAATCTCACCTGTTGCACAGCAGTCGCCGCACATACTCCTCCAGGCTCTCCCCAAACACGCCGCCCTCTCGGCTCAAGTCGACCATCTCAAGCAGCGTGCGGGCCTGCTTGGCGAATGAAGGCACCTCTCGGGATATGAGTGACATTGAACCCACCTGAATGAACCTCCCCTGGGAAGAACCTCACCTGGAGCACAGAAGTCGCCAAACATACTCCTCCAGGCTCTCCCCAAACACGCCGCCCTCTCGGATCAGATTCACCCTCTCAAGCAGCGTGCGGGCCTGCTTGGCGCATCAAGGCACCTCTCGGGATATGATACGATATGACATGATATGATGAAATGCGAACTCACCTCACACACAGCAGTTGCTGCACACATACTCCTCCAAGCTCTCCCCGAACACGCCTCCTTCTCGGCTCAAATCCACCATCTCATCACATGAACGGCTGCAAACTCACCTGCTGCACAGAAGTCGCCGAACATACTCCTCCAGGCTCTCCCCAAACACGCCGCCCTCTCGGCTCAAATCCACCATCTCCAGCAGAGTGCGGGTCTGCTTGGCGAATCGAGACACCAGGGGGTGCGAGGGGAGGTCGCAGGGCAGCAGCTCCAGACGCAGCAGGATCTGCAGCTCGTGGCTGGGAAGGGAGAGATAAGAGGGGAGAGTGGGGGGAAGGGGTTAGGAGAAAAAGGGCAGGGCGTGGGGGGAGACGGGGGTGGATGTGTGTGGGTGAGGGACAATTTTAGAATTGTCAAGATCCGAATCGGGGCAGAACAGGTCTGCGAGGGGAGGCCGCAGGGGAGCAGCTGCCCGGCGCATGGGAGGAAAACGAAGGGGGAAAACCAAGAGGGAACGGCAAGAGCGGGCGCGGGGAGGAAAACGAAGGGGGAAAACCAAGAGGGAACGGCAAGAGCGGGCGCGGGGAGGCAGGGGGCAGGCCCAAGCTAAGCTCCCCCGCCCTCGAAATCTGATGCATGCTTTGTGTATGAACGTACTCCAAACTGGACTCATCACAAGCTCAAGTCACCACCACCTGAACTCCACCCACCACCAGTCCACTCACCATCGAACTCTCTATCTCCCAGCGTTGGTGGCCCCGGCCCCCCCGTCACGAGATCTCATGTGTGTCAGCACACCCAACAGGAACCTGATGCCCTGCACACTAGTTTACCCTAAACTGGAGTCACCAGCACCTCCACTCACTGCAATCTTGACTCACCTCACCACCACCAGTCCACTCACCATCGGACTCGATCTCCCAGTGTGGGCGGTCCTGTATCTCCTGCTCTCGAGATCTCATGCATGTCAGCACAGCGACCCAACGGAAACCTGATCCTTGGTGTACAGACTTACCCCAAACTGCACCCACCACCACCTCAACTCCAACCACCACCACCCTCACTTACCATCAGACTCGATCTCCCAATGTGGGCTGCCCCGGCTCCCCCGCTCTCGAGATCTCATGAGTGTCAGCGCAGCGACCCAACGGAAACCTGATGCTTGGTGTACAGACTTACCCCAAACTGCACCCACCACCACCTCAACTCCAACCACCACCACCCTCGCTCACCATCAGACTCGATCTCCCAATGTGGGCAGCCCCGGCTCCCCTGGTCTCGAGATCTCATGTGTATCAGCACAGCGGCCCACTGGGAACCTGGTGGTGCCTTGTGCACAGAGATACCCTTAACTGGACTCACCACCACCTCGACTCAACCCAAGCTCCACTCAACCCAATGTGCACTCACCATCGCACTCGATCCCCCAGTGTGGGCGGCCCCGGCTCCCCTAGTCTCGAGATCTCATGTGTGTCAGCACAGCAACCCAACGGGAACTGCCGCTGCAAATCCGCCTTGCCCAACAGAAGAGCCTCGTGCACCCGCTTTTCCACTTCCTCCTCATCGATCCTTCGCCCAGTTTCCCCCTCTTCCATCTGCGTCTCTATCCCCCTTTCGTCCATCTGTCTCCCAGAAACTGATTCGATCCCCCCTCCCCCGCTCCCCTTCCCTGCCGCCTCCTCTCGAAACAACCGTCGCGCCTCCCGCACCAATCCCACGGCAGCACTGTACAGATCCGCTGCCACGTCATGCAGCACGTCAGCCACGCGTTCTGCCAGCCTGTCAGCTCGCTCGATGGGTCTAAAATCCACGGTGGAGTCCCGTTCCTTTGGCAAACCCTCCCCCAAGCGCTCTCCCATCCGCTCGCCCGCGCCCTCCTGATTGCCCTTGCCCTCCGCTGCACTCTTCCCACCAGACACACCCACGCTCAAATCAACACGGCCAGAACCCTCCGTCTTCCCAACCTCCCCACTAGCCCCTCCCTCGTCCCTTCCTGCTCCACCCCACAGCACCATCTGCAACCCTTCTTCACCTGGTGCTCGCTCCTGTGCTCTGACTACCCCTTGTCCTTCCCCCACCGCCCTTCTCCTTCCCTTTTCCCTGCCCTGCTCCTGCTCCTGAGTCTGCTCTGTTTTCTCCTCATCTGCTCTAATCTTATCCATTCTTAACCCTCTTCCTGTCCTTCCAGCCGTGGCCCCCTGCACCTTCCACTGTCCCCCCCTCGCTGCCGCCCAGGTATGAGTCAGCATGGCTGTAAGCCGCGTCATGTGGTCCCCACCCTCTGCTGCTCGCGCCACCTCATGACACGTCAGCTGGTCCCCACATGCCGTTCTCCCAGTCTCCCCGCCACCTGGCTGACTCTCTTGCTGACTCAGCAGGAACTCCAGCTCAGCTTCCTCATACTCCCTCGCTTCATCCCATGCCACGTCATCACCCAACGCGACTCTCCTGCACGAGCCTTCCGTTTTCTCGTTACAAGCAGCATCGTTATTGTAACCTGTGCTGCCATTCTCGCAGATATCAACACTCCCACCCCCTTCAGCCGCTCTTTCCCTCTCAAATCCTTGTCCCCTTTCTGCCTTTCCCAGCCGCTTCTGGCCAAAACTGGCCCCTAAGCCCCATTCAGAACCCTCCCATTCATGCACGCTCACCCTCTCCTGTCCGTTACTCCGTTCCCACACCGCCCCTGCCACGGCTTGCCGCCCATCCCCCTCCCCTGCAACCTGCGACGCCTGTGTTCCTATAACGAAATCCGTCTCGTTCTCCCCTTCCCCCTCACACTCCCCCGTCGACCCCTCATCCTCCTCCGCGTCCCCCTCCATCCCGCCCGCTCCCCCTTCAAACCCCCCGTACCGTCCCTCTGCCTCCCCCCACGTATCCTGCCTGTCTGCTTCTGAAAACACTACTAACTGCAATCCAACCTCCCACTCAGACTCCCTTCCGCCTGTCCCATAAGCTTCCCTCTCAGCCCTCTCAACCCTCCCACCCTTCTTATCATTCCTCTCTCGGCATCCCTCCGCTCTTGACCGCTTTCTTTCTTCCAGAGAACGTCGTTTTTCTCCCTCCTCCCTTTTCCACACGCCTCCACAGCCACTCACCACCTCCTTATCATCCTCCTCCTCCCCCTTCCGCAGTCTATGCCGCACCCTCTCTACACCAGTCTTTCTCCCACTCCCACCTTCCCCATCCGCCCTTCCCTTCTTCTCGCCAGCACCACTACGGGGAATCTTCGCCTGTTGGTAACCCTCCTGCTGGTAACCCTGTTGATGCCGTTCCTGGAGCCTCCGCTTCGCACAGCCTCGGCCAGACACCGGGAAACCCCGGCTGCGATTCTGCCTAGCCCCTTCTGGCTTCCTCAGCGGCTTCTCAGGCTTACGCCGCTGGCGACCCAGCAAAGTCGGGCAATCGCGGATCCTCAACACGGCCGCATGGCCAGCGAACGGCGCAATGATCCCCGCGCACGACACCCGCTTGCTCTTCACGTAAACATGCGCCTCCAGCCCCTCCCCCTCCAAAAACCTCAGAAGAACCCCAAACAGCTCCCCTTGCGGCTCCTTTGCCAAACCACCGCCTGTCACCGCGGGCTTCTTTTCCAGAAGCACGTACTGGAGAAACGGCTCGTCCTGAGCAGCTCCTGCCCTATCAGAACCCCTCGTACCAATCCCCTCCGCCCCTCCAGCCCCAGCGCTCCACTCTGCAAGCGCCTCAGCTGCTTCTGTCCGCGGACCCTCTACCCTCTGTTGGATGTCTAGCAGAGTCAGCTCCACGTTGCCGGAAAGAATCCTACTGGCTCTTGAAACTGTACCCTCCGCACCGTCGTATTCGCCTTCGTACTCGTTATAAGCATTGCAAGAGGCTTTTACCACGCCTGACGCAGCAGCTACGGTGTACGCTCGCAAAAAGCATTGCACCTGGGTGTTTGAAGGCAGAGTCTCCTGCCCTCCACCCAATCCACCCAGAACCTTAACCCCACCATTAACCTCGGGATTACTGCGTCCTACCAATGCGGCCGTTTTGCAAGGCAGCAACATCCGACAAGCAGCTAAGGGTTCCGTTTTCCCTGCTACTCCCTCCCATACGGCGGATATTAAGTGACAGTCTGCTCCTCCTGCTGAACTATACGGCTTTAATCTCAAGAGCGACCAGCCCGCGTTCAACGCCGCGTTCTTCGCTTCCCTTGCCGCTGCGCTCTCTCCTTGTGCGGCCGATCTGCACCCTTCGTTACTATCACGCCGATCCTGCGCGCGCGAATCGACTGCTGCTGGCCCCACCACCCGTTCCGTAGCGCCAACGTCAACCCACGAGACTTGAATTCCCAGTGGTGCGAACATCGCCTGTACTTTCGCCACTCCGCCGGCACCCGCCCACTCTCCTCCGCGTCCCGCCGGCCCCTCGGCTACAGCCGCCTCAGCCGCAACCGCAGCTTGCGCTGCTACAGCCGAGTTCTCCCAGATGTTGCTAAACAAGACCACGTGATTCGCACACTTGGATTCCAAACCCAAACGGTCTTCCCCTTTAAGATATTCACCGATATCATCGTCAGATGCTGTACCCGTTCGCTTATGCTGTCCCCCCCTACCAGCAGTAACTATAGCGGGAGTGGTCCTGGGAGGGCTTCGAGCGTTATAGTGGCTCCACGTGTACCGAACTTGCACTAAATCGGATAGAGTCCGCCAGATGTTCCCCATATTGTCACCCGGAAATGTAGATCCAGGATTAGCCTGGTTACCAGAAACCCCGCCGATCTCCTTGTACAGACGAGCCGTAGTTTGAGGTTCTGCTTCTGTTTTACATGCTCCTGCAGTTGCAGTTAACAACAGAGTATGTTGGCCGGAACCGCGAGTGCTGTCGGCTACGGCGGTATCGCTGCGCGCGGCGTGTGCCAGCGTCTGCAGTTCACGTGCCAAGCGGCAAAAATCCTGCTCTCTAACGGGAAGGAAGACCGGCCGATGCGCGCTGTCCTTAGCGGCTCGGCTGCGGTTACTCTCCGTACCCTCACACGCTGCGCCATACGAGCTGGCGCTCCTCTTAAGAAGCCTCTTAATCTTGTTTTCTGATCGTAACGGGCTGACGCTGGAGTCAAACAGGTGGTAACCCCATCGCAGAGGAGGAGAGGAGGAATGGAAGGCGAGGAGACACTTTAAGATACTGGCTTGAATCGAAACGGCTTTCGCTGGCGTCACCAGAAGCGGGTTGACGTCAATGAGAAACAAGATGTTCCTACTCTCGTCCATGGCGAGGTCTTCCATAACCGTTATAAGCAGATCGGCATACGCGCTATAAGTCAGCCAGTATCGTCGACTAACAAATTCTTAGAATCGCGAATGGACTAATCCTCGCTGCTAAAGGTGACAGAAGCCGCTTCCACTCTTCAGCTCAGTATTCGTCGCAATGCTTCAAGTATTATGATAATCTAGAATCTCGTAAACAGTGTTGGAGGAGAACAGTAGTATAAGATCCCGTAAAGTCGTTAATCAAAGACGTCCTTCGACAGAGTGTCTACAATACTGGTCTGAGCGGTAAGCAGAGGAGGTGTTGGAGAGTTGATGAATGGCTGAACGGCAATCCCGATGGTGATCCCTGGCCCCGACCTTCTGGTTCCATCCGTTGCCTACCATATCCTACCACCATGATCACCATCACCATTGTCAGCAGACACCATCAATGGAAGCTGAGGGTACCATGGAAAACACCGCTAAATATCCTCGATACCGATTGTTTTTCCCCACTTCTTCTGCTCGCCCCTGCAGAATTCCGTGCGCCACTGCAGTGCGTTGCGCGAGTGTTCAAAATTCGAAATTTCGAAACGTGATGTTTTCAAGGTGGATGAATCTGGAATGAATGGGCGGCTGAGATTTCGCGATATCACAAGTTCGCGCAAGGCCTGTCGCGTGCCCTCACGAAACTCGCAGTGGAAGCTACTCAAGAGACGTCAACGACACGAGAAGTGCCAATGTAGTTTTGTTACACACATTCCATTGTTATGATATCCCTATGGAAAAACTTTCATCTCTAGAGCGTAATGGTCCACGTACGGCATATGGAATGGAAAAATTGCCAGCCACAGGAGAGCATTGTCAGTTGCCTTTTGGGACTTCACTCTTTCCATTATGGCGGAATATTTACGATATATTACGCCAGCTTTATTAATTTGATCAAACAGTGTTTGATATATGCATTTGTCAACGAACAAGTGCTTTTTCTAACTCACCCCAGCACCTTCTGAGCTATCTTCCACAATGCAGGATCTATCCTCCCCTCGTTTTCCCGGGCTGCCACTTCCTTCAAAACCATCCGTCCCGCTTTCCTTTTATCAACCCCTGGCCCATGCTTTGCTAATCCCCCTTTCCCCCTTCCTTCACATCCTCCTTCCAACCCATCGGCCACACCTGCACCCTCCTCCCCACTTGCGTCCCCTGCATCCCCTTCCTCCACATCTCCTGCTTCGTTGTCTTTACCTCCAACCGCATTCCTCGCCCCAAAACCCCCTTCATTCTTGCATTCTCCATCCCCAGCTCCCCCCTCCGCTTCAATCCCCCCCAAACTGCCCTTCAACAAGGCACTAGCAGCATCCACCTCTCCTTGCAGACACCGGACCTCCTCCCCATTCCCCTCTTGTTGGCCAGTAACAGTGGCGGCAACAACACCAGCAGCAGTGCCAGCGGCAGTCAGAACCCTCTTACAGCAAGCAACAGCTGAAAGCACCGCCATCCACACCATTGCACCACCCTCCCTCCCAGCCGCCGCCCCTCCCTCCCCTCCCTCCCTCACACTCTCAGCCTGCCTCCTCAGCAGCGCAAGCGCTAAACCACAGCATCCAAGCACCAGTGCGTGCGGTTCTCCTCTCTCTGCCTCCCTTTTACACTTCAACATAGGCAGGAGGAGAGAAGTGTAGGAAGCTGCGAGGACAGCAGTGAGGGTGGACAGGAAGGAAGGAGCGACGGCCCAGATGGCAGCTCTGCTTGCCTTGGACGGTCGAGATTCGCCGGGAGTTTGGTGTGCTTGTGAGATCAGGGCCAGCATTGCATGGACGGTTGAGATCAGTTCGAGAAGATGATCTGACAGCTCGCTCTGTGATGCAGGGAGAGCAAAAAGGGGAAGAAGGGGAGGAAGGTGGGGGGGGGAGAAGAAGCGGGGTTGAAAGGCAATAGAGACAGAAGGGAGATGGCAGGAAGCATGAGGGGATATGCTAGAGGTGACAGGAGGGACGGGGAGACGAGGCAGTGAACCATGTACCACACTAGGGCACACCTCGTCGCCTACTTGCTTTTCTTGCTTCTGAGCCCCGTGCTTCCGAAGAAACTCAAAGGCAGACTCAAGAATAAGTGGAGGAGGCAGGGAAGGAAAGCACGTACCAGGCTGGAGCACCCCTTGTCGTCCACCTGCCGTCCTTGCTTCTGCGCCCTCCGTCCCAGCTCCTCCTCCTCCTGCTGCCTCTCACTCCACATCAGCACCAGCAACTTCACATACACACGCAGAGCCGCTCCTTGCACCCACTCTGCTTCCTTAACCTCCAAATCATGCTCATCAGCAGCACGATCATCCTTCACAGCAGCATCTGAGTCCGTCCTAGTACAACCATCCGAACCAGGGCCAGCAGCAGGAGTAGCATTCGCCACATCGCTCATCCCGGCCAGTTGCGCGTCGACAGCTGTCCTCAGCAGGCCCAGCAGCCGCCCAGGCACCCCGGGCATGCGCAGTAACTCAGCTCTCGCTTCTGATTGGCCCAGGAGAATCTCCAGGCGGTAGGCCACCACACAAGGAGGCATCACAGTGGCTGCTGCCTCGCTGGCAAGCTCTGATTGGTCCGAATCACTTCCCTCTGCTGCATCCTCGTTATAGACCTCTCTCACACCAGCAGCACCTCTCTTCCTTCCAGGAACCTTGTTTCCTCGCCCTATCTTTTCTTGCTGCCTCTTCCCTAGCTTTCCCTTCCCCCCCCCTCCCTCCAATAGCCCCCTCTTCCCCGTGCCATCCTTTGCAACTGACGGGCTTTCAGTTGATTGCCTGGAAGCTTCCTTGCCTCCTCCCATGCTCCGAGTCACACGTCTGTTTCCTCGCCGCAAAGCTTCCTCCCCAACCATCATCTTCTCCTCTCCCTCCTCCTCTCTCGTCTCCCCATCCTCAAACTCCTCCACTTCCACTTCCACTTCCTCCACCTCCTCTTCCTTCACCACCTCTTCTACCTCTTCTACCTCTGCCTCCTCTCTTGCCCCCGTGAGCTCCTCCTCTTCCCCCCCCTCTCCCTCCTCGCCTTCCTCCCCACCCTCCTCATCTTCATCATCCGAAAGTAATATCTCTTCCACCTCCTTCTCTTCCTCCTCCTCCTTTTCCTCACCGCCCCTTCCCTCTCCTTCCTCTATCGTATCCGACCCCCCTCCCTTCCCCTCCTTTCCGTTCCCCCTCCGCTCTCTCCTCTCCACCTCCCTCTCAACACCCGCAGCAAGAGACACCTCTAACGCGTCTACCAGCTGACCCAACCCGCCCCACGCGCGTGTCAGCACCACCACACCCTCCACCTCCCGCCTCTCCTCCCTCCTCCCTTCCATCCACTCCATCGCCTCACCCATCCTCACACCAGCGAGATTATCAGAGATTTCCGCAAACGCTTTATTGACTCCCTCATGGTTCCCCTCTTCCCTCTTCCGCCCAACCCTCAGGAGCCCCTCCCTGCACACGTCAGCAAGCTCCTCCACTGACACGGGCGGCAGCAGGGCGGCGATTCGTAGCACCGCCGCCCGTTGACTTGCAGTACGTGCCGAGAGAAGCAACCGTTTGAGAGCAGGAGCATCCAGAGTATCAGCCATAGCTGCAGCTGCATCTGAGCTTTCACATTCACCCCTGTTTCCGGCCTTGCATCCGCTTCCTTTTCCTCCTCCTCCACCTCCTCCTCCTCCCCCTTCCACCATTACTCCCTGAACAAACCCCAACACCACACGATACATCACCTCTCGGTCCTTCTCCTCCTCCTTACTACACTCCTTCTCGTCCTTAGATCCACCCTCCCCAGAAGCAGCCTCCCCACCTCTAACCTTCCCTCCTTCCCCACATGTCACCGTTCCATCTGCCCCCTCCTCTCCCTCTCCCGCTCTCCCTCGCCTCCTCTTTCCCTTCCTCTTGCACCCTTTACCACCGCCCCCTCTCCCCTCCTTTTTCTCCTCCCCTCTTCCCTCCCCTCTCACCTCCCCTCTCCCCTCGCCTCCCTCCCCTCCATCCGTTACAATCACCAACAAGTCTACAACAGCCCTCACGGCTTCAATCACAGCTTCGAGTCCCGCACCTTCCTGGAAGCTGCAGCGCGCAAATGCAGCAGCAGCAGGGAGAGACCGCTGCATCAGGGTGATAAAACGGCCGGCAGCAGCAACAGGGGGCAGGTGGGTCGGCAGGTAAGTCGGCAGGAGGATGCGGGTGACGTGGCGCGATACTATTGGATCGTTGGGCTCCTCCAGAGCCTGTATGAGCTGGCCCAATGAAATAACCTCTTTTAGTCTTATGCTGGTGTTACTAGCCACCGTTATAAGCAATTCCGCCACTGCCACTCTCACCCCACGCGACCTGTCCCTCAATCCCGCAGCCATTCGCGGCAGCATCCCCCGTAACAGCTCATGGCAAACCGGGTTACCCTGTAACAGGTGTCCCACCGCCCGCACTGCTGCCATCCGCACCGCGGGACTGGCCACGTCAGCAGCCAGCTCGTCAACCATCCGCGTCAACGCTGACGTGGCGACGCTCGACGGGATAACCTCCCAGAAGACGCAAAGCACACGCCCTGCCACCTCAGCAGCGGAGGCTCGAACCGCGGGACAGGGATCCATTAAGAGGCGATCAAAGAGGAGCGATAGCTGCCGATTAAGGAGCGACTCGTTCGCCTCTCGTCCTTGAGCCGGGTCGCGGAGGGGGAAGAGCTCGGCCAATAGGAGAAGGGCGTTGCGGCGGACAGCTGGATTGGCGGCCTGAAATGTCAGGACGCGGGAAGCACAGGGGGGAAAAGCGGGGAGGATAGGGGAAAGATGAAGAGAAACGCATGTGTAGAAAGGTATTTCAAACGCAGCACGGTGCATCTACACGGCACCCATATTTCTCACGTGGCATCCGCAGCAACACACCTGTAGGCTTCGGAATATGATCGGCTCTGATACGCGCAGAAGCAGCTCGTCCACGCCACGTTGCAGCATCTGATTGGAGAATCCGCCCACCACTCGCCGAACCGCCGCTCCCAGCTCGGGTGTCCGAGCGAAGACTGCAGCTTCGATCAGCCCCTGCAGAAAGCCGTACTCGATTTCCAACAGGCTCGGGCCAGGCTCGGCAGATCGCCAGGTTCGGAAAAATACCTCGCCGTAAGCTTCTAGCAGCGACTTCCTTCCCGATGGAATCTGATTCCTTATAATGAGTATGGACTCTTTAAGGAGCTGGAGGTCTAGAAGCAAAAAGAAGGAGAGGAAGCGCCGACCTTCTGTGGTCTTCAAATACACCGGCGCGAAGAGACACCTAAGTAGCAGCCCGCGAGTCCCGGCTATGCTCTCCGCGTGGCTGAACTCAAGCTGCGAAAACGCGTCGCGCATGGCGTACACGCGTCGCACGTCCACTGGTCGAGAGAGCTCAAGCGATCTCGCGAGGAGATACGGAAGCGTCTGTGCGATGAGGGTGTCCTTGCCTCTCAAATCTGACTGCCACCAGGATTCGAACACGCGAGCTGCTGCTTCCTGTGCTACTGGGTCAAAACCACTCAAGTCGATAAGAACGTTGTGTATCGACTGGCAGACGGTCAGCAGGTCAGCTGGCGGGGTAACCGCGCTCCCGGATCCTGAAAACGACTCCGATAAGAGAAGACGCGTTATTGTGAGAATTCCCCGGAGAACTGCGCGGGCTTCGTCCTCTGATTCGGATTGCGAGGATGCTCCTGAAACTGATCCCGCTGCTGCTGCTTCTCCTGCTGCTGTTCCTGCTGCTGCTGCCGCAGCTCCCGCGGCTGAAGCCACTGCTGCTGCTGTCCCGGAGACGTTGGCGGAAACGTTAGCGGAGCCGTTAGCGGAAGCATGTGCGGAGACATTAGCAGAGGCATGCGCGGGAACGTTAGCGGAGGCAGCGGTTGAGGCGTTGGCGGTGCTTGGAGTCGTGTGTTGCGACGCAGTCGTGTCGCGTACTGCGATCAGCTGAAGCACCTTATCGAGCGTGCGCGTCGTGAGGTGGAGCAGAGCGGAGCACAGGCGGGGAGTGGTGCTTCTATTGAAACCTGATACCACGTGGCTTAAGTTCAACGGATCCTGCTTCGACACGTGGCGAAGCGTCAACTCGAGAAAGGCGGTCGGGCTGGGGTCTTCTAAAGCCCGAAGCAGCTGCTCTTTACTGCATTCCTTGGTCATTGCTACGTTTTCTAAGGAGCTGGGTGTATGAGAGGAATAACAACTCGAAATACAGTTCTAAAACTCGTGTTAAACTTCCAAGCTTCGGCGATCCTGAGGTGCTCCGCATACATAGTCAACTAGGAAGGAAACACGGTAAAGCATTTCAGTCAAGCAGCAATTCTCTGTGTACGGACCTCCTAATTGCTTCTCATGCTGACTCTCTGTCTATTATGCGTTTCTTCGCCGGTCTCAAGAGAGTCATACGGCAACCTCTCTAAGCACTGCAGTTGGATTGGAATTCCCGATGTAAACTGACAATACCTGAGAAATCCCACTGACAGGAGGACCTGCCTTGAGAACTGAAGGAACTGACACTCTCTGGGCGGGAAATGATGGGATGCTCTCGAGGCGTGCGGGCATGGCCGAGGCTGATTGGCTGAAGGAGAATTCAAAGCGTGGGATTCGAAACGGGTTCTGACATAATTAGAGTTGGAGCTACGTGCTGTAGGAAACAAACATGTTATAAACAAGCATCACACACATATGGTGGTATGATCTTTCTGGGACTTAGGTAGCGATTGTATGCAACTACCACTGCTCAGGGCATCTTGAATTGGGTGTATTTGCAATCAGCTTCGAGCAAGCCTGATACCCTAAAATGATCCTCCTTACCACCAAAATTTACATGCTCTTTGCTGTCACCCTCCTTTCCTATTGATCCCTTCGTCCTTGCAAGCCTTGAAGAGTTGGTCTGTTCGGTGTTCCCAAGCAGCCCTTGCACAGAGTTCGACTCCTTGAAACTCCCTAACCTCACATTCAGCTGCAAAAAAAGAGATGTATGGTAGTGACGAACCATTGAATTGAAACAGCACCAACCAGCATACACACTTACATGGTTTTGGTGCACCCATTTGTCGGTGTTGTGATAGAACGCTGCTCTTCTGATGTCAATAGTCATATCGAATGTATTTGTGACGCGAATCCGAACGGATCTGCTTGTACGATCCACTCTGAGCATCTTATTGCTCATGGAGACTGTTAAATCAACATTAGGCAACTCGGCTCCATTAATGAAGAGCCCTCCTTGAAAACCCGAAACCCTTGCACCGGGATGTGACAGCGCAACCACAATAACCTCCATCAAATCATCTTCACTGCTGCCTGCCCCCTTGTTTTTATACAGTATGCCGACTTCATCCATATACTGCAAGAGAAACGAGCTTAGACAAAGAGGGGAAACCATTGCGTCAGCGCAAAATATACGTTTCATTGATTTCTTACCGTCGTGCTGTTATGTGCCCAAGCAACGAGTCGCATGTTAACGTGGATGTCTGAATCCGAGAGCAAGCAGTAGCTCTCCCCAGGCTTGCCGTGGAAGTCAAGTCGCTCCCCATGCAGCCCCACCAAGTGCAGGTCTCCTGTCACGTTGCCTTCCGATGTCCCATTATACCTGTGCACACCAGGGAAACATACAAGAAAGATAATGGAAGTCAAGTATCTGAGAGCAAGCAGTAGCTCTCCCCAGGCTTGCCGTGGAAGTCAAATCTCTCCCCGTGCCGCCCCACAAAGTGGGGTTCTCCTGTCACGTTGCCTTGCGTTGTCCCATTATAGCTGTAGGTCAGGGAACCAGGAAATGGGTTCAGAACACATTCGGATAAAAAACACATTTGTTCAGAACACATATTTACCTCCTCCAGCATGTGTGGGAAACTGGCATGTGCAACATAGGAAATCAGAAAGCTTTAGTCTGCTTAGAAAGATTGGGCTCACCTTGGTGGTTGTGGCTCCTTAGGAAGCTTCTCCCGCAGGTGACGAGCGCAAGGAGGAGGAGGTAAGGCGGTTGGAGTGGGAAGGGAAGTCGGCAGGGTAGGGAGCGGTGGCCCTTCCGGTTGGGGGCAGGCACATTCAGAGACCGTAGAGGTGGGCGTGGGAGTGGGCGTGGGAGTGGGCGTGGGGGAAGGGGCAGCGGCAGTGGCAGTACCAGAAGAGGCAGGTGTAGCATCAAGGGGCAGTGGCAGGTGTAGCAGGAGAGGTAGGGAGGGAGGAGATGGTGGAGAGGGGACGAGGTGTGGTAGGAGGAGCTGCATTTGCCGCTGCTGGTACCGGTGCTGGTGCTGGTGGTGCTAATGCTGATGCAGGTGCTACTGCCGATGCAGGTGCTACTGCTGATGATGGTGCTAGTGCTGATGCTGGTGCTACTGCTGTTGCTGGTGCTAGTGCAGATCGGGGAGGGGTTGCTTTGAGGTAGGCGGGAAGGAAGGGGCAGGTGAAGGGTGGAGGGGCGCGGAAGCAACCAGCTGGTGGGGAGGGTGGGAGGGGAAAGGGGTGGGGAGAACAAACTTCAGTGTCTGAGCATAGGATTTTTTGCTGCTGATGCTGTTGCTGCTGATGCTGTTGCTGATGATGCTGGTGCTAACGCAGGTGGCTGGCCTGAGGTATGCGGGGAGGAAGGGGCAGGTGAAGGGTGGAGGGGCGCGGAAGCAACCAGCTGGTGGAGAGGGTGGGAGGGGAAAGGGGAAGGTAGGTAGAAGGGTAGGGTGACGTATATGAGAGAAGGATGGATGGTGCCCTTATCCATGTGAAAAGGATGGTAATGGGAGTCAATCCCATGGGTGCATGAGAGACAGGCAATGGAGAAGGATCGTACCCACGCATGTGAGGTGTTGGGCATTCCCATGGGTCATGTGAGGTGAGGTGAGGTGAGACTATTTCTTAGGCGCCTCGAAAACCGTGCCCAGGCATTTCTGGGTGCACGAGGGAAGAGGAATGGGGGTGCGAGAGGAGGAAAGAAGGGAACCGAATGCTGCAGAAAGGTAGTGTTGCACCTACATTCAGTTACTGTCACGTTGCCTCTTGCACGAGGAGCTGCAGCGGTGATGTTTCGGCAGATGACGCACGAACCCACGCAGAGGCAAAGCAGCAGTGAGGTAGTTCCGTCCGTTGCACTCACTCTTATGTATTGTAACGTTGCCTCTTCCCAGAATGGTAGCAGGAGTGGTGATGTTTCGGCAGATGATCCAGGAACCCACGCAGAGAAGGGGGGCGGTGAGGGAGGAGGAATGGAAAGACGGCTTAAGGTGTATCCGTTACACTTACAGTCGGTTACAGTCACGTTGCCTCTTGCACGAGGGGTAACTGGAGTGGTGGTGATGTTCCGGCAGATGATGCAGGAACCCACACAGAGAAGAGGGGTGGTGAGGGAGGAGGAAGAAGGGGGGAGATGACGGGGGAGGGAGGAGGAAGAAGGGGTGGTGGACGGGTGAGAGTAGGGAGGGGAGGAGGGATGGGAGGAGGCTGATTGGGTGACTGGCGGTGAAGCTTCCTGGAATCTGCTGTGGTGGATGTGAGCTGACGCCCATCGCCTCACTGCCACGTCAGCACCGCCCTGCAGGTTTCCCCCCCTCCTAGGTCGCCCAGACTCTCTAGTCACAGGCCTTGTAGCAGGGTCACTGGAAATGTTACCAGCAGTGGCACCAACGGTGTTATTCAGGAAAACTGCATGGTAGATAGTGGCTGTGCTGCCGGCATGCTCGGGACGGCCCCCTCCCACAAACAGCGCTCCCCCATCCCTCTGGACAGGATAAGGCATCGGCAGCAAGGGCAGAAAACAGTAGTTCAGGTGCTTTCCTTACGACGGGAGAAAAGGACAGATAATTCAGGTCATTTCATCAATCGGACGGTGGAGAGCGTCCTGCGCACACTGAGTTTAATCAACCGGTGGAGATCAAATCTGAGCTCACCCCTGCGGAGTTCTCATTAATCGGACGGTGGAGAAGGAGGCTCGGCTTTCAACTCGGCTGTGGGAACCCACAGCCGCTGCCCCTCCGTCCACAGCAGCCCTGTTGGCCTTCAGAGCCATTTTGAACGGTGGAGATTGAATCTGAACTCACCCCAGCCGAGTTCTCATTGAAACGGACGGTGGAGAACGAAGCTTGCCCCCCAAGCCGGCCATGAGACCCCACAGCCACTGCCCCGCCGTCCACAGCAGCCGTGTTGGCCTCAAGCAGCACGTTGCTCATGTGGAGAGAGGCTCCCAGTGTGCTCACATCCTGAATGGTGTGGGTTAGTGGGGGAAAAGAGATGCACTTTCAAGAGATGCACATCTCCACTTTCCACCTTCCGCACTCAGCATAGGTGGCAACAAAGAGCAAGTGGAACACCGTGACACAGGGAGAGGGAGAGGGAGAGGGAGAGGGAGAGTAAGAGGGAGAGTGAGAGGGAGAGGGAGAGGGAGAGGGAGAGTGAGAGGGAGAAGGAGAGGGAGAGGGAGAGGGAGAGTGAGAGTGAGAGTGAGAGTGAGAGTGAGAGGGAAAGCGAGCGGGGTGCCTCGAAAGCCAGGCTAGTACCTGGTTGGTTGATGATGCGTTGTGGCAGGCAGCGTCGCTCCCATCCACAAACACGGCTCCGCCCACAGCAGCAGAGTTGGCGACAAAGAGAGAGTCGAGAACAGTCACACAGGGAGAGGTGCTTGTGTAGCCCACTCCTTGCGGGCATTCCCGCGCTTTGTGAGGGGCATGGGTGGTTGTTATGCTCCTGTCGGCCTGTGCCCCCAGATACATGGCGCCTCCCCTGCTTCGATGCTTCCCAGAGGCGTCCTGTGGAGGGAAGAGGATGGAGGGTGAAATCAGTGGGATGCTGACGGGTTCAGGAAACGCAGCAATGACATATCGTACAATTCCCGAAAATCTCTATGCAGTACAATCAACCCCCATTAATTCTGCCACACGTACTACCATGAAAACGGAGTTGAAAGCGAAATTGGCACCGTGGAAAAACGCCGCCGCATTACTGCCTATTGCCACCGCCCCACCTCCGCTCTCTCCACTGTTATTATAAAAGCTCGTGCCTAAAGCGGACAGGTAGGCCTGGGGCAGGGTCTCCATTGGTGAAGGCGGTGAGTCGGGCAGCCCGGAAACGAAAATTGCGCCGCCGAACTTGCCCCGTGGGACGAATCCGTGCAGCAGAGCGATGTTTTGGAGCGCCAGGTAACCGCCTGCTTGAACGGAGAAGATCTGACGGCAGTGTGACACATTGGGGGAGGAGGGGGAGGTGGGGTTAACAATTGGGGGATTCAAGGTGGGTTGCGATGTGAGATGGATTGCAATCCGTGCACGAGTGCGATGTTTTGCAGTGCCAGGTAACCGCCTGCCCAAACGGTGAAGATCTGAAGGCAGTGTGACACATTGGGGAAGGTTCGATATGGGGTATGGAATGAGTCGGGAGGAGAAGGAACTGATTCCGTGCAGGCCGTGCGTTGATTTGGAGCGACAGGAAACCTCCTGACCAAACGGTGAAGTTTTGAAGGTTAGGGGGACACAATATGAGAACGGGTTGGAGGGGTGTGAGATTGGATTCGTGCACGAGAGGTAAGCCTCTCCTCCTCAATTCCTCCCTCTCACCCTGGACTTCCCCTGGCCGTCGATCGTGCACTGATCCGACGAACACAAGCCCGTCACGGCCACCGTGTGCCTGACAGCTGGCAGCTCGCCGTTGGTCAGGTACACGTGGCGCGTGAGGTAGACGGCGGGCGCGCGATCCAGCAGCGCGCCACGTAAGCAAGCCTCGTTATCGCACCACGTGGCAGGCGGGCGGCTCTCCGCGCTCCCCTCGTTACCAACGACCTCCTGACCACCCTCCGCGAATGACGGCCACTCAGAGCTTCCTACCCCGTCCCCTCCCCCGTCCCCTCCCCCGTCGCCTCCCCCATTCGCTCCCCCGCCCCCACCGCCGTCGGCTCCCCCGCCCCCTCCCCCGCCCCCTCTGCCGTCGTCTCCCCCGTCCAATTCCCCGTCCCCTCCGCCAGTCGAAGTGTGGCGCTCGGTCTCGCCGCCATCGGCGCCGCTTCCCCCACTCCTTCCATCAACTTCTGAAGCCGGCGCTTCTGCTGCTGTCGGCGCAAGCACTGCCGCACTGTACGCATCCTCGCCAGTGGAAGGCTCGGTATAAGGGCTCTCCTCCAGCAGCAGCTTTCTTGCACCATCGGCGGCGCTCGTGACGGGGCGCTGCGGGCTGACGCCTGGGAGTTCTGGCCGGGAAAGGTGGGATCTGTCTGCAAAGAGGTGCGGCTGGGGAAGGCGCGCTCTGACCGTCTCTGAGATGCGAATGGGTGCGCTTGGAAGCAGAGACGGTACGCGTGCTGCGTGAAATGCCATACTGTCGACGTGGAGGGGAGGATCGCCGGAGGAGCGAGCCTGAACCGTGTTTAGACAGAAGAGTACGACGATGACAACGAGAGTCTGGGGACAAACAGAGAAACGCGGACGGGGCAGCGACGTTGCCTTGCTTTCCATGATGGCCCGTCTAGTTTCCGCTGAAGTGAAAATTATCGACGCAGCACGGCCGTGAGTGGTGAATACCAGAGTTGATACGCACTAGCGGGATGACTCACTCTTGAACGAGTAGAGCACGAGATGTGCTCGTCTGTGGCCGTGCGACGGTGGAGAGAGAAAGGTAGTGCAAAATGGCAGTGCAAAATGGCAAATTTGATTATGAAGCAAAATTGGGAAGTCAAATGCGGCTCGAAGGTGTTGGACATGGCGGTGCGAGAGGCCTTTCGCCACGTACCGCGAAGGCCGTTTGATAGTTGACGACCCTCGCAAATCCCTGCTGGTGTTCATCGTCCAGCCTCGTTCGTGCTGACGAATCGGTTGCGAAGCTCGCCTTGCGAAAGGAGCGCAATTTTGAGTATATGGCTATGTGGAATTCTGCTAAACAGCATAAAAGGGTAGGCGTAACAGGTATGCTGTAACTATTACGAATGTAGGAATCTCGCTGAATCTCGCTACGGGCAATTGCGACAGACAGTACGAGTCTGCGCCAGCACAGCACGGTCTCGCCTAACTAACGGAGCAACAACGAGGCTGATTGGTCGGAACACGTTTACCCGTCAGGTGCCTTCCAGAAGCACGACTAGGAACGCGATCTTCCAGACCGTCACGCACGACACGGCAACCAGCCGTGGGAAGAATCGGGATCGTCCGATGAGGGCGTGGAACCAGCATTCCAAAACAGTGGGGTACGATGATCTGCAATCTGGAGCGGTTTGTACGATACACGGCCCTGATGCCGTGGTCTGCAAAACGGTTAAATATTAATTACCGCAATAAACCGTTTCTCACCTGTCTAAGATTAGGACGAGGTTGTTTACCTCGGCCCTTTATGTTCAGCATCAATATCTCCACATCTCAAATCCGTAATGCTTTTCCCAGCTTTCTTCTGCTGGATCGTCATTAGCAGATAGATATGTCAGGCATTTCTCCAGTTATGGCAATGAAGTTACGTCAGTCTTAGCTGTTTAGACATCGAGGCTACTAGCGTGTTGGTCACGGAGAATCGAGGCAAGGCAACGTGAAGTCGCTACTAGTTTGCCATTATCACGCGTCGTAACCTGCCTTTCGGAAACGAGATTCAAGGAAAAAGAAGCTCGCCTGAGATATAACGCGTCTCAGTAACGTAGCTTCGTACATTTAGGAACAAAACTTAGTTTTTTGTTTCCCTTTCCAATTTTCCGAACTTCGTGCATCAGGAGAAAGCAAAGACATCACGCGCCGCCTATCCATGGCGGCGACAAACGGCGAGCCGGCTCACGGACAGCACCAGAAAAACGACATCGCAAAAAAGAAGGCTAACAAAACGCATCAAGGATCAGGAGGGCTTGTTTGGTTAGCTCTGGCCGCGACAGTCGCCGTCGTGGCTGTAGCGGTGACAGTATCGCGACCGGAATATGTCACCGCCGCTGCTGCGAAAAGCAGCGAGTTTTGTAACCAGTTGCTGCGACAATGGGGCGTGAAGCCTGTTGAGGAGGTGCCAGCAACAGGAGATTCTACACCGCCTGTCGAAGCGGCGGCAATATCGAGAAATCCGCCGGCGTCGTCAGCTTCCGTTACATCTCAACCGGATTCTGGCTGCACATGTCAGGTACGTACGTTACGTGTCAGGTACGCACGTCACACAAGTACGCACTTCACGTGCCAGGTACGTACCTTATGTGTAAGTATGCAGATCACGTGTCAGTACGCCCATCACGCTAGTCAAATCTCCGATTTGCGTCATGCCGCCGCGCTGCCACGTGTCACTTGCAGGCGGCTGTCTGGCGTGATGGACGACTTCTGCTGCGAATACGAAACAGTGGACGAACTCAACTCGCACTCCTTTCTCTCAACTTTCCTGCTGCCACGTGTCACCTGTCCCTGCCACGTGTCACTCGCAGGTGAAGCGGCTGTCAGGCGTGGTGGACGACTGTTGCTGCGAGTACGAGACAGTGGACGAACTCAACTCGCACGTGTTACAGCCGCTGCTGACTCAGCTCGTCAACACCACCTTCTTCAAATACTTCAAGGTCGGTTCAGTGCGGTACTGCAAGGTGCGTAGTGGTTTCAGAGGGGCTTCTCGCACGTGTGTTGCAGCTGCTGCTGACAGCTCGTCAACACCACCCCAACCCATTCCACCACTTCCCGCCCCCTCCCCTGCCAGGTCGTCTCTGGTGTGTGTGACTGTCCCTTCTGGCCAGACGACGGCATGTGCCACTCCAGAGACTGCTCCGTGGGGGAGTGTAAGGACCACGAGGTTCCTGCTCCCCATTCCACCCCATTCCACCCCATTCCAACCCATTTCAACCCATTCCATCCCATTCCATCCCATCCTATCCACCCCCTGTCAGGTTCGTCTGTGGTGTGACTGTCCCTTCTGGCCAGACGACGGCATGTGCCACTCCAGGGATTGTTCTGTAGAGGAGTGCAAGGACCACGAGGTTCCTTCCCTCTTACCCCACTCAACCGCACTGCATTCCACCCCATCCCACCCCCTCTTTCCAGGTTCGTCTGTGGTGCGACTGTCCCTTCTGGCCAGACGACGGGATGTGCCACTCAAGGGACTGTTCTGTAGGGGAGTGTAAGGACGACGAGGTCCCCCCCGCCCTCCGCTGCCCCTCCCCACCCGCGCCGTCGCTGCTCCCTGCTGACGTGGACGAGCCACGCGACGCTGAACTGGACCCGAGTGCGGATGAGTCAGCGTCTGCTGAGTCAGCGGCGGGGTCGGTGGACCGAACGGTGGATCGGAGCGCGTTTCAGGCGTGGGTGGAGGCGGATAACCCGTGGACGTCTGATGATGAGTCAGATACAGGTGAGAAGGTGCGGATGTAACTGGTACGAGGCAGTTGCTTGCAGCCGAGAATTCTCACCTAAAAAACGACTCAGATTTTGCCGGGGTGACTCAGCATGTTCCAGGCATGGGTGGAGGCGGATAACTCGTGGACGTCTGATGATGAGAGTGACACAGGTGAGAAGATATGATATGATACAGATATGATTGGTACAAGGCAGTTGCAGTTGCAGTTTCCGGGGTGCCCCGGTGCATTTCAGGCGTGGGTGGAGGCAGATAACTCATGGACAGTCGATGATTAGAGTGACACAGGTGCAGTGAAACATATGGGTACGGAAATTGAGTTACCAGAACACGGCTTGCCCCTGGGTGGATGGGGGATTGCTACACCATTGACCGTGGAGGCGACTTTTGAGGCGCTTCAAAAGCCCTGGCTGGATGGTGATTGCTCCACCGTTGATCGTGGAGGCAGATAGTACTGGGCGGCTGATGATGAGAGTGAGGCAGGGAAGGTATGGTGCGTCTGGTAGGCCCTCCTCTCACTACCAGGAGAGCTGCTTCCAGGACGGCTCGACCAAAAGCCCTCCTCTCACTACCAGGAGAGCTGCTTCCAGGACGGCTCGACCAAAAGCCCTCCTCTCACTACCAGGAGAGCTGCTTCCAGGACGGCTCGACCAAAAGCCCTCCTCTCACCACCAGGAGAGCTGCTTCCAGGACGGCTCGACCAAAAGCCCTCCTCTCACTACCAGGAGAGCTGCTTCCAGGACGGCTCGACCAAAAGCCCTCCTCTCACTACCAGGAGAGCTGCTTCCAGGACGGCTCGACCAAAAGCCCTCCTCTCACTACCAGGAGAGCTGCTTCCAGGACGGCTCGACCAAAAGCCCTCCTCTCACTACCAGGAGAGCTGCTTCCAGGACGGCTCGACCAAAAGCCCTCCTCTCACTACCAGGAGAGCTGCTTCCAGGACGGCTCGACCAAAAGCCCTCCTCTCACTACCAGGAGAGCTGCTTCCAGGACGGCTCGACCAAAAGCCCTCCTCTCACTACCAGGAGAGCTGCTTCCAGGACGGCTCGACCAAAAGCCCTCCTCTCACTACCAGGAGAGCTGCTTCCAGGACGGCTCGACCAAAAGCCCTCCTCTCACTACCAGGAGAGCTGCTTCCAGGACGGCTCGACCAAAAGCCCTCCTCTCACTACCAGGAGAGCTGCTTCCAGGACGGCTCGACCAAAAGCCCTCCTCTCACCACCAGGAGAGCTGCTTCCAGGACGGCTCGACCAAAAGCCCTCCTCTCACTACCAGGAGAGCTGCTTCCAGGACGGCTCGACCAAAAGCCCTCCTCTCACTACCAGGAGAGCTGCTTCCAGGACGGCTCGACCAAAAGGCCTCCTCTCACTACCAGGAGAGCTGCTTCCAGGACGGCTCGACCAAAAGCCCTCCTCTCACCACCAGGAGAGCTGCTTCCAGGACGGCTCGACCAAAAGCCCTCCTCTCACATTTTCCTCCTTTCCCCGCATCCCTCTACCTTACCCGCCACACACACAGCCTCCCAGGTGTATGTGAACCTAGCTCTGAACCCAGAGCGCTACACAGGGTACGGGGGCGACTCAGCGCGGCGCATCTGGCAGGCGATCTACCAGGAGAGCTGCTTCCAGGACGGCACCAGGGATGAATGCACGGAGAGGCGCGTGCTGTACCGACTAATTTCGGGTCTGCACCAGGCCATATCAGTGCACGTGGCCGCGTCGCAAATATGGGACTCAGCAGCTGGGAAGGTGAGCTGGCATTGCAGAGTTGCAGAATGAGCAGCTGGGAAGGTGAGCTGGCATTGCAGAGTTGCAGAGTGAGCAGCTGGGAAGGTGAGCTGGCATTGCAGAGTTGCAGAGTGAGCAGCTGGGAAGGTGAGCTGGCATTGCAGAGTTGCAGAGTGAGCAGCTGGGAAGGTGAGCTGGCATTGCAGAGTTGCAGAGTGAGCAGCTGGGAAGGTGAGCTGGCATTGCAGAGTTGCAGAGTGAGCAGCTGGGAAGGTGAGCATCTGGCCATCCACCAGCAGAGCTGCTTCCAGGACGGGTGAGGGAGGGAGGGGGGCTTGTTGTGGGGGAGTTGGTGCTATCAGGAGAGCTGCTTCCAGGATGGCACCAAAGACATGTTCCCTGAGCGTCTCGGCAACCTCTATTTCACATTCCTCTTTGTGCTTAGATAACCCTTTCATCACCACCTTCTCTTTGCCCTTTTCCCTGTTCTCTCTCCACTCCCCTCTCCTCACTTCAGTGGGGCCCCAACATCACCATATTCCACCACCGCGTCGCCAAGTTCCCTCTCAGCTCCGTCTCATTCCCCTTCCCCTGCTTCCATCGCCCTCCTTCCTCCGTGTCCCCCATACTCCCTCCCTTGCCCATTATCCACCAGTGGGGCCCCAACATCACCATCTTCCACCACCGCGTTGCCAAGTTCCCTTCAAAACCGCCATCTCACTCCCCTTCCATTGCTCCCGCCTTCTCCCATCCCTTTACCTCCTATTTCCCCTCGCCCCTCTCCCCTCCCACCATACAGTGGGGCCCCAACATCACCATCTTCCACCACCGAGTGGCCAAGTTCCCTGAGCGCCTCGCTAACCTCTACTTTACCTTCCTCTTTGTACTGCGCGCGGCCACCAAGGTAAGCATGCTTTGGGTTTGGGTTTGGGTTTGCGGTTGTGTCGAGATCATTTATCATCTAAGCGCCTTGCCAACCGCCTTGCCAACCGCCTTGCCAACCTCTACTTTACCTTCCTCTTTGTGTTGCGCGCTGCTACCAAAGTAAGTGGTCTCCCCCTCCTCCCCTCCTCCTTAACTCCACACACCAATTAGTTGGCAATAATGTTGCCGGACAATCCACTTGTGCACATTCGCTTTGGGTAAAACATTGCTCTTCTCAGGTTTGTAACACCCTACCTCTACCCTTTTCAGGTTTGCTGGTAACACCCTCCAACCACACTTTCCCTCCTTCCCCCCTTCCTTCTCCCCCACCCTTGTTTGGTACAGGCAGCGGATTTCTTATCACGCGCGTCTTATGACACAGGGAACCCCCTTGAAGACCACCAGACAGCAGCGCTGGTGCAGCAGGTGGTGAGGAATGGGAGGCTGCAGGCGGCTTGCCCACTGCCGTTTGATGAGGCGAGGATGTGGCGAGGGGATGAGGGTCCGATGCTCAAGCAGACACTGCAGGGGCACTTCAGGAACATCAGGTGCGTGTTGAATGGTCTGTGAGGGGCACTAATAGATCTATTAGTCTAGATGGGCTGTGAGGGGTGTGCGCGATGCCACCTGTGACTTTTGAGTCGACTCAAAAGTCACCAGGAACATCAGGTGCGTGTTGAATGGTCTAGTAGTCTAGATGGACTGTGTGGGGTGTGCGCGCTGTCACCTGTGGGGCAAGCTGGCGTGCTCTTCCATTCCTTCCTTACCTATCTCCACCACTCTCCACCTTTCCCCACTCCCCCAGCCTGATCATGGACTGTGTGGGGTGTGAGCGGTGCCGCCTGTGGGGCAAGCTGGAGATCCTCGGGCTTGCCACAGCCCTGAAGATCCTCTTCTCTGTTGATGGCAATGGCAACGGCATCGGCAATGGCATCGGTGGCAACGGCAATGGCAACGGTGTTGATAAGTTGAGTCTGCAGCGCAACGAGGTGGTGGCTCTTTTCAACACGCTCTGGCGCTTCTCCCATGCGCTCAAGACCACTGCTGAGCTCGTCACCCTGCTCGAGATGAACCCTTCCCCGGATGCACCTGTGATTGGAGCAGCGCCTATTGCGTCTGTCTCTGGTGGTCCTGCTGCTGCTGGTAGTGGTGGTGGTGGTGGTGGTGGTGGTGGTGGTGGTGGTGGTGGTGGTGGTGACAGTGGGAGTGGTGTGGGTGGCGCTGCTGACACAGTGCCGCTGCAAAAGGTGTGGGAGAGAAGCCAAGAGAAAGACAATCATGACTACAAAACCAGTGCTGCACAGTAGTGCATTCTGAACTGACAGACATTCGTTACACTGTACAATAGCACGTAGGAAACAAATGTTAACAAAGTTTACTGCTGTAATATGTTAGTGGAGATCTCCACAAAGCGTTGTGGTGTGCTACACCTTCATTTTTTCATGGGCTACCTTGTTGCTGCAAATTCTGTCACTTCCCCAGGGCCTACCGTTTTCCTCAATTGAATACTGTACCACTGATAGATAATTTGTTCACACCAGCGTGTAGCACTGTACTGTCTGTAACACTCTATGTTCTTACGAATGCATGTGGTGAGTGCGTGGTTTCGTTCGACCTCTCTCGCAAGAGGGCGTGGTGCCAAAGTCCGCATGTTGGACACGGTATTTTGCGTTACAGTCAATTATTGTACGGTTTAGAGCGGTAAATGTCTAGGCTCGAATGGATCACGCTCTGGACGTTACCATACCACGCCGCTATGCATGTATCACTTCACCACCACTCACTTCCTGTGCCCCTCGGGAATGTCGCACTCACTCAGGCAGTAAAACATGCTTGGCATGGCAACAGCCCAGTTCGGCAGGCACATAAGATTCTCTCACCTATCACCTTTACCAGAACCTTGAGAAAAACCACGCCACGCTCCTTGAATATATAACCTGATGAGAGCTTCTTGTTGCTGGTGCTTGGCTAGCTAGTCTCCCTCCTTTTCCTGCAAGGCGTATCCTGATATGACCGTTGATTCTTCAACCAGAATAACGTTGCGTTAACATTCGTAGCGGAGTTGCTTAGAATCCCAACCTTGGACCTGAATTAGATTACGTTACCGGATTCGTGATAGCGACTCCCTCGCGGGATCTCATTCGATCATTCACGAAAGTGCTGTCACGGCCAACGACATCGGTTTCGGACGTGCCGTTGCGATGAGTCATCTCTACTGGAACGGCTCGAAGCTGTTGAACGATCCCATTCACGACCATATCACGGTCGACAAGGTACGAAGGTGTGCTTTGAGTCGACTGCTAACAATCCGATTTACGGGAACGGTTCGAAGCTGTTTAACGATTCCAATCGCGACCATATCATCCTCAACAACGTACGGGTATATCGTGTGACATTGTAACGGGTTGGCTTTTGGTTAGTCGCTCGAAAGCTGTTTTACGACCCCATTCACGGCCATATCACGTTCTCACACGGTATGGAAATGCTGCTGAGTCTAAATGGAAAAGGCACGGACAAAGGTCACGATGGCTACGGAGCAAAGGTCACGGGATAAAAGCACATGGCTGTCAAGTTACAAGATTCAGCACAACGGGTGAGTGAGCCAGGATTCAGTGCCAATGACAGGGATTGACACTCATGCTTCTTCCTTTCGTGCAGCAAAACAGCTTCTCCTTTGCTCGTCTAATTTCACTCCTCTCCACGCCTCTCTCTCCCCATCCCTTCCAACCCTCCCCTCCTCAATCCCACCACAGACCAGCCTGAGCATCATCGACACGTGCGAGTTTCAGCGGCTAAGGCACATCCGCCAGCTAGGCGTCTGCCACTACGTGTACCCGTCAGCCAATCACACACGACTAGAGCACTCCATAGGGACCTCCCATCTGGCCAATGAGGTGGTGGAATCATTAAGGCGGCAGCAGCCAGAGCTGCGGATCAATGATGATGACGTCATGGCGGTTACTCTGGCTGGGCTGTGCCATGACATGGGGCATGGGTGCTTCAGTCACATGCTCGATAACTCCATCTTCTCCCACTTCTGCTCTGGATCCGATTGGTACGTACTTGGCAATCTTTTGAGGCGTCTTGAAGCTGGGTTGTGCCATGACATGGGGCATGGGTGCTTCAGTCACATGCTGGATAACGCCATCTTCTCCCGCTTCTGCCCTGGATCCGACTGCTATGTGCTGCACAGTCGATTGTACCTGCATGATTCCACTTGCAAGGCCACTTTTTGAACACCTTTGCATCTCTCTAAACAATTTTCAATCTTGTTGAACACCTTTGCACCGCATTGAATCATCAGGCACCACGAGAAGCGGTCAGTGGAGCTGGTGGATCGAGTGATTGACAACAACAACATCGACATTGATCCTGACACCGTGGCCACCATCAAGGTGAGAGAGGGCATGACGGCATGAGGGTGAGAGGATGAGGTGAGAGCATGAGGGTAAGATAGCACTGAAGGGGAGAGGGTGGAGGTAGATGAGAGGCGGTCGGTCAGTGCAGCTGGTGGATCGAGTGATTGACAACAACAACATTGACATTGACCCTGATACCGTCGCCACCATCAAGGTGAGATAATACTGCAGGTGAGAGGTGAGCGCGGCGCAGCATTATCGGGGACAGCCTGCAAGTGAAGAGGATTGGCAATGGCAACAACAACAGCATTGACATTGATTGATCCTGACACCGTTGCTTGCCACCATCAAGGTGAGAACCAGGAGAAGAGTGAGAGATAGTGCTGAAGGGGAGAGGGGGTGAAGGTACACAAGAGATGGTCAGTGCAGCTGGTGGATCGAGTGATTGACAACAACAGCATTGACATTGACCCTGACACTGTCGCCACCATCCAGGTGAGTCTCATCCTCAACATTTTGCCACCTCCACCCCTCCGCATGCTTGGCTCCATAATCCATTGCCAAGGATTATTTACAAGTGGCTTTCTCTGCCTTTTCCGTCCACCTACCTGCCCTGTTCTTTCCGTTTCCTTTCTCCCCTTCTTTCCCCCCAACTATCCATCCCCCCCTGCTGCCCGCCCGTTGTTAATTCCCCCACACCCAGAGCCTCATTCTACCTGACAAGTCCAAGAGGAAAAGGGTAGGTGAGGGGGGAAACGGGTGGAGACAGGAAAAAAAAGGGCAGGGAAAGATGATGGGAGGGTGAGGGGAAAAAGAATTGAGTGGGTGAGGGTGGGCGAGGGTGGGTGAGGGTGGGTGGGTGAGGGGAATGGAATGGTTGGGTCATGTCAGTGATATGAGGGTGAGGTGAGGCTGAGGGCTCAAAAGCTCCTGAAAAAACTCCTGAAACGTGCATTTTCATTTGTGGAGAGTATGCAGTGCTCGTTTTCTCTGTGGGTCAGGGAGAAGGAGCTATTATGAATCATCGTGACAAAAAGATTTTCGAAGCATCACGCGAACGGTCGCTGAAAGTTTTTTTTTCCGCTGCCCGGAGTATCTGCAGGACTAAACTGGGAAGAAGTTTCTATGGGATATCGTGGCCAATGCGCTGTGAGGCACCTGACTGACTGTCTCCCTCCTCCCCTGTGTGTGTGGTGTGGAGTGTCCTATGCAGGACTATAAGGAGAAGGAGTTTCTATGGGACATTGTAGCCAATGCACGCACGGGAATAGACGTGGACAAGTGAGTGAGCCCGTGTTCTCTCCAATCCTTCAACAGTGCACCCCGTTTTTCCTTAATTCTTTAGCAGTAGAATTGCTGCTCTCTCTTTATGTGGTGTCCCGATCTGTGCACTGCTCTGTGGTTGACAGGTTTGACTACCTGGCTCGAGACAGCTACTTCTGCAACATCAAGTCGTGCTTCGATCACAAGAGGTGAGGAGGGTGTGAATGTAAGGAGGGTGAGCATAAGGAGGGCGTGAGTGCATGCTCTGTGGTTGACAGGTTTGACTACCTGGCTCGTGACAGCTACTTCTGCAACATCAAGGCGTGCTTCGATCACAAGAGGTGAGAGGGGGGGATGTGGGATGAACATGGGGAGATGAGGAGGGTGAGGTGGGAGGGTGAGTGTAAGGAGGGTTTTTTTGAGAATTTTCAATAAAACCCTGCAGCGTTGGATGCACTATTTGGTGGCACCTTCAGTGTTTTCTGCGTGGCTTTTCTTTAGCGCTGGCGCCTTCAAAAACCCTTGCGTTCTCCTCCGTGTCGCCCCCATCGCCCCCCCTGCTGTCCTTCTCTCCCTCCCCACAGAATAATCCAGATGATGCGAGTCATAGACGACGAAATCTGCTTCAAGTACAGAGAGTGTGAGTGATGCCCTACTTCATTGCCGTACTTTTCCCTTCTTGCCCACTCTTACCCTCCGCCCTCTCCTGTTTGTCTCGTATGCTCTCTTGCCTGCTCTTCTCCTCTCGTACCCTCTCTTGCTCTCCCCTCCCCCTTGCCCCTCCCCCTTTCCCTCTCCCCCCCCTCCTTTCCCCTCCTCCCGCACACTTCTCTGCAGTAGAAACAGTGAACGACCTGTTTTGGCTGCGGGCCAAGATGTGTTTTCCTTTACCCCTTCTACCCTCTCCCCATTCCCCCGTCCCCCCCCCCCTCCTCCCTCGCACTTGTCTGCAGTGGAGACAGTGAATGAGCTGTTTTGGCTGTTGAGGCCGTCAAGGCCATGATCCTCGAGGCCCTCTCCTCCCTCCTCCCCTCTCCCACGCCCAATGCATCCTCCGCTTCCCCTCCGGTCTCCCTCCTCCGTCCGCCCTCCTTCCTCCTCCCTCCTCCCTCCTTCCTTCTCCCTCCTCCCTCCTGCCTCCTCCCTCCTCCCCTCTCCCCCCGCTCCCCTGTCAACAGTGCAGACAGTAAACGAGCTGTTCTGGCTGTGCGCCAAGATGTATCGCAACGTGTACACGCAACCCCACCCCCACACCCTAATCCCTCCCCTTGCCCCCCCCCCCCCCCTGCAGTGGAGACAGTGAACGAGCTGTTTTGGCTGCGCGCCAAGATGTATCGCAACGTGTACGCGCACAAGACAGTCAAGGCAGTCGAGGCCATGATCCTTTGGGAGCGGCTCTCAAGGCGCCTCCAGGGCAGTCGAGGCCATGATCCTGGAGGCGCTCCCCATGCCAACCACACCTTCCACTTCCCCCCTCTCCTCCACCCCCACCCCCCCCCCCCTTTACAGTGGAGACAGTGAACGAGCTGTTCTGGCTGAGGGCCAAGATGTATCGCAATGTGTACACGCACAAGACGGTCAAGGCAGTGGAGGCCATGATCCTAGAGGCCCTCACCCACGCCAGCCACGTCTTCCGCTTTGAGGAGATTGCACTCACGAAAGATCTCGATAGATTCTGCCAGCTGGACGATACGATTCTGCGGGAGATCCTGCGGTCTCGGGACCCCAGCCTGGCGAAATCCCAGGAGATTTTGAGGCAGCTTGAACGGCGACAGCTGTATCAGGTGACTTCTGGGTCCCTGCACCGTTCTGCACCGTTTTGCACCGTTCTGCACCGCTCTGCACCGTTCTGCACCGTTTTGCACCTTTTCTCAGCACTCACCTTCCTCCCTGAACAATGTCTGCTCCCTCCTTACTGCCTCATGTCCCCAGATCACTCCCCCATCCCATCTTTACCCCGTCTCCCCACCATTCAACCCCGCAGTACATGAACGAGGTCGTGGTCCCATTGGGCGCTCTTCACCACTTCAAGAAGCTCTCGTTTGCCTCCCCGCACTCTGTCTGCTCCTGTTTGACCTCCTCCCTTCGCCCCCTTCCCCTCCTCCCTCCCCGCACTCTGTTTGCTCCTGTTTGACCTCCTCCCTTCGCCCCCTTCCCCTCCTCCCTCCCCTCCAGTACATGAACGAGTTTGTGGTGCCGGTGGATGCGCTTCACCACTTCAGAAAGCTCACAGTAGATGAGCTGCTGCAGCATGTGAGTGTGTGAGGGCGTGAGTAGTGTCGGATTGTGCGAGTGTGTGAGAGTGTGTGGGAGTGTGCGAGTGTGTTAGGGAGTGAGAGTGTTTGTGGGAGTGTGCGAGTATATTAGGGAGTGTGTGAGGGTGTTTGTGGGTTTGCGTGTGAGTGTTATGTGCTGCCCCTTTTTAAGAACCTCACAGTGGATGCGCTGGCTGAGCATGTGAGTGTGTGAGGGCGTGAGTAGTGTGAGCGTGGCCACAAGTGATGGTACATAGCTGTTTACCATACCATATCCCCCTGTACCTGTAAGCCTGCTACCTGTATTCCACCATTTGACTGGGAGCAATGGCAGGACTCGGGATTGTAGCCGCCGGAGCATGGCGACCAAGTAATGATAACTAGCTGCTTACCATACGACATACCCATCTACCTGTGTTCCTTGGTATTTTGGCAGGGCACGGGGTCATACCTGAGGGAGCATGGCGACCAAGTGATTGTGGACAATATCAAGATTGACTATGGGCAGGACACAGACAACCCCCTCGACAAGTGAGAGCCTTTCCACTTACATTCCTCACGACCCTGTTCCTACACTCATGTCGAACAAGGTGTTATGACAGTGGAACTAGGTAAGGTTTCTCAAGAGTGATTGTGGACAATATCAAGATCGACTATGGGCAGGACACAGATAACCCCCTTGACAAGTGAGTCTAGAATGACACATGTCAACATCAATATCAACCTGTTGGTCACATGCGTCTTGAGTAATGTACATTACGAGAGTGGACTAGGTTTTCCCAAGAGTGATTGTGGACAATATAAAGATTGACTATGGCCAAGACACAGACAACCCACTGACTAGCGAGTCAAAACGTTCAACCTTAGCAACTGATTGATAGAATCAACTTTGCACAACCCACTCAGAAACTGCTGAGTGCCTTAATCGGCCGTTTCTCATACAATCTCGTATTTCTCTCTTATGCACCTCCACCCTGTGTCATGTGCGCAATCAAACCATGGCTACAACAACCACGTTGGTATGGCGGCCATTTTGTGACAACCACCATTGGGGATGTTGCTTCCTTGTCTGCCGGGCCCGTGTGCTCCACCACACCACATGGCTGCAACAACCATGTTGCTACAACCACCACGGGGGGTGCTGCTCCATCCGTTTCGCCTGCTGGGCCCGTGTGCTCCACCTCACCACATGGCTGCAACAACCATGTTGCCACAACGACTGCATGGGGTGTTGATTCCTCCTGTGATGCACCCATGGGTTGTGCTTGCTCTTCAGGGTCCGCTTCTTTGATGTGAGTCGTGGGGGGTGTACTTCAGGGTCCCCGTCTGCGTAAGGTGGGGTGTTCATTCCTCCTGTTAATTGCACCTGTGATGCATACATGGGGTGCATATGCTCTGCAGGGTCTGCTTTTTCAATGTGAGTTGTCAGAGCTAGAGTTTTCGACATGTCACGATGTCATTCCACCTGGAGGTCAATGTCACACATCACGCACGCACGTGCATGTCTGACATGCTTCACATGCGGACATGTGAATCACCACCATCCTCTTTGCAGGTCTCTCCTACCAAGCACTCCTCGATCAGTAATTTCCACGTTCTGAATTGTGCAACTGCAGACCCAGGAGCACCGGGACCGAGGCGATCCTTCAAAGAAGCTGTCCAAGTTTCCCATCCCATGCCATCGCATGAGCACAATGATGCCTCAGAATTACAAGGACATGACCGTTCGAGTGTACATCAAGACAAGAGATCAGCGCCTCGTAAGCTCATTCGTTGTCGTTATTTGTCATTGCACAACCTATCCGCTGTTGCTGTTCATGTAGTGCAAGTTGGTTTTGTTGTTTGTTTGTGTCTATTGTTTAATTGCGTTTCTTATTATTTTCTTGTTTTCCAGGAGGATGAGGTGAAGGAGGCTTTCGTCAATTACCAGATGAAGACATTTGGTCGGGAAGTCATGCGCACACCAAGCCGTAAGAGAATGCGCAGACACCATGAAAATGGTGGAGGGATAACCAATGGGGCTGCAACTGGAACAGAGGAGTTCACGGGGGATGATGATGATGTGGTTTGTTCACAAACTGCGAGGAAGCTGATGTGACATGGCGTTTTGAACCCTGATGATTGTACAGTCAAGCTTCAGCATTGTTGATTTTTCTTGGGCTTTCTGAAGTGATTTTTCAGTCCTTCGAATTACTGCGTTTAACCACTTCCTCGTTTCATCTCAGGACGCTGCCCCAACAATCCACAGCAACAGCGTGATGGCCGTGTATTATTTCCTATATTTGCGAGATTATTGAACATACTTCTGCAAGTAACAGGGAAGACAACTGGTAGAAGGAAAATGAAGCTTCATTCTATCTAGTGATTCTAATGCTTGGGTAAAAGGGCGCGGTGGATATGATGCATTTGACTGAAGTTTGAGCCTGAACCACTTGACATGAAAGAATTGCGTACGTATCTAAATGAATTTTTCTGCAAGTAAATGACTAATGCACCATGACCTAGCCAGCCATGTTTGGCTAAAACAAAAGGAATAGCGTTGGCACTTCCAAAAGGTGGCTATTGAATATCGTGTTAATCTGAATATTGAGCGTACAAAATTGTTCCACTCAAGCCGACCTTCTAAAAGGGCTGTACATGAAACTCAAAATATATTATCTTGCATTTAACGGGGGGACACGGTGATCTGGTCAGCGGACACAATCAGGTCACCCTTCCTGTACTCGGACCAGGCAGCCACGGGCCAGGTAGCACCACGGCCGAGCAGGCTGAGAGCGAGGGGAACATCGATGATGATCTCCTTCTCGGTGGGCTTGGCTCCCTCCTTGGTCTTGATCAGGTAAGAGCGGCCGACCCACCCGATCCAGCCAGCAATGTACAGGAAGACGATGCCGGGGGACACGAACTCGCCCGCGTGCCTGAAGTCACCATCGACGATCAGGTGGGGAAGACCGTCGGTGCCGCACAGCAGGCCGGACTTGCCGTAGAAAGAGAACCGGCGCTCGGTCCTCTCAATGGTGGCCTTGAGAGCCAGAGCGGGGGCGGAGCCGTCCTTGTAGAGCTTGAGGCGGTTCTTCAGCTTCTTGATGGAGTTCTTCTGGCGCTTAGCGAAGGCCTTGGAGTCCTTGCAGGGGGTAAGGCCAGCGACATCGGCGAGTGCGACCTCGGGAACGGCCAAGGCACCGGTGCTGACGATGGCAGCAAGGGCGAGGGCAGAGGCGATCTTGCCAGCCTGCTCGGTAACGTTCTCCTCCTTCTTCTCCGCGGAGCAGACGGTCTTGGCAGACACCTGCTTCACGAAGCAAGACGCCTTGGTGGTGGAGAAAGACGCCTTGGAGGACAGGTTCTTGGGTGCGACAAGGGGAGCACCCAGACCAACAGCAGCCATGGTGACGGCGGCCATTTTTCCTCTGTAGTTTGGTTACTGGAAGAGGAAGTCTGGCTGCAGAGTCTGGTCTGGAAGGAGATCGCTGCTTGCGTAGAGGAAAGCAAACCCCGAAGAGTCTAAAACTGGATGTGAGGTCTCGCTGCTGCAGGTACACCGCTTGGAGGGATTTTCCAGGAGTTCGGGGAAACCCAGCATCGAGCAGCACAAGAATCCCGACAGGTGGCGCCGTTCAATCAGAATTTCGCACACTGGGTCCGTCAACCAATCGGTGAGCTCCAACCCGATAAGGCAGACCGATTTTGTGACCTTCAGGGTATTCTGATCCACGTGGAATCGAATGAACGTTAGCGAAGAGTTCGTTATCAGCCCGCATCGTGGCATCTCGTCATAATCGGGGAAAAGCGTCGCCAAAATCTAAATCGCGCACCCAATCGCTGTAGTGCGGCAAATCATTACACAAAACCTTACTCCCACATCTCTGCATTACATATAGAAATATGAGTACATCACATAACGTAACTGCACAATTGATTACATTACGTATATCAATATAACATTTTCTCTCAGTCCGCATTTGTGGATCATAACTTGAATGGATCATTGCTGATACGCCACATCAGTGTATCAGTACTAACAATTACCATCAATACAATCACAGCAATGAATTACAGTTGATTCATAATTGTCGCAAGGGCCTTCAGATTTGTCAAGTGCCTCATCCTCTCAAAGGCAACCACCACACTCATAATCAGTTTGTTTCCCATTCAGCCCTCACAAGAGAAGCTTTGCCCCAGACTAAGGCTCCCTAAATAAAGCACCAGCTCAGCTGGTAGTACAGTAGCTACTCCCGGCCCATACTCCTTGCCATCCCATGCCCCGTACAGATCCATCCTTCCATGCCCACGGTACATCCTTGTGAAATCAGCTGGTCTGTAATTATGCAAGTTGGTTGCAGTGCTGGTGGCCATGCAAGAACGGCTGCTTGGACATGCAAGCAACGGTCTACTCTAGCAGTGCACTGTGTGGAAAGGGCTTGGTAGGTTGGTGCATACGGATCGAGAGAGAGGCAGACAATGATAAGGGACGCATAATGTGGACGCTTGAAAAGCCGCACGCTTGAAGGGCTTAGAAGCTAAAGAGCAGATGATTAGACGAGAATGGGCGAGACAGGGGCTTCCCCTGAAAAGCTGCTGATAGGGGTCCCCCTGACCAGGTGCTAGGGGTCCCTGTCAAGGCGTGCGAGATCGTACACCTGCCGAATGTTGCCTGATGCTGCAGCAGGCAGGGCAAGTTGGGTGGGGAGGGGGGGGGGAGAAGCAGGTGGAAGCAGGTTGACCAGGTGATAGGGCGCTCTCTCTCTCCCTCTCAGCGGTGCTAGGGGTCCCTGTCAAGGCGTGCGAGATCGTACACCTGTAGAAACCGCGTGTAATGAGTCTGCTTTTGAGTCGACTCAAAAGCAGCTCTCTCCCTCTCAGCGGTGCTAGGGGTCCCTGTCAAGGCGTGCGAGATCGTACACCTGCTGAATATTGCCCGATGCTGCAGCAGGCAGGGCAGAGGTTGGGGAGGGGGGATAAAGGCAGGGTGACTAAGAAATCTGCTGCTAGGGCTCTCCCTAAGAAGGTGCTAAGGGTCCCTGTCAAGGCGTGCGAGATCGTACACCTGCCGAATGTTGCCCGATGCTGCAGCAGGCAGGGCAAGTCGGGTGGGGAGAGGGGATAGAGCCAGGGTGACTTGGAATGTTACCTCTGTCTTTTGAAACGTTTCCAGATATGTGCCCACAGGGTGCTTGGGGGGAGCGGGGTAGAGGGTGGTGGGGAGGGGGTGTGGGGGAAATGAGGAAAACGGTCGTGGATAGCGGGCTCGATGATGGGAGTGTAGTGTGGATGAAGGGCGAGTGTAGCGTGGATGATGGGTAACCGAGGGAAACGGTACATAATTGGAATGGAAATAAAGCAGGTAAACTGGATGGGTGTGAAAAAAAAGGTGGAAGGAGGTAAGGGAAAGAGGAAGGGAGTGACTGACTGAGGAGCCACCCCTTGAAGTGTGCCTGGATAACGTTCTTGAGGCATTCTTAGAGAGGAGGCCTCCTCAGAGAGGAGGCATTATTACAGAAGAAATAGAAACATTTTCAGGAGGCAAAATGCCGTAGGAGGTAGAGGAGGTAGGGGGGGCACTGACTGAGGAGCCACTCCTTGAAGTGTGCCTGGATGACGTTCGTGAGCTCCCTCTTCCGCCCCTCGTCCAGCACCGCTGTCTTGAGCGTCTGCCTCAGACTCTCCACCGTCTTGGTCTGACAGGGAAGGAAGGCAGGGAAGGGGGTTGGGCGGGAAGAAAGAAAGGAGGGTGAGACGGTTGACCTCAATCCCCACTCTCGTCCAGCACCGCTGTCTTGAGCGTCTGCCTCAGACTCTCCACCGTCTTGGTCTGTCACACATCAGGGAGGAGACGGGGGAGAAAAGAAAGGAAGAGGGGTGGTGAGGTGTACAGAGAGGAAAGACGCGAGCAAAGAGAGGCGTGGTACAGCAGAGACGACAGAAGCAATCCATGGCTGCTTGCACCTCTGTGGTCCAAGGCATTCAAGGGATCCCAGCCATGTGCCTTGTGCCGCAGCGCATTCAAGGCAGCGACTCTCATACCTTGTGCTGCAGCGCAATGAGGTACGTCTTGGGCAGAGCAAACGGGTTAGCCCGTGTGGCCTGCTGCAGCAGCGGACTGCTGTGGTGATGAGTTATGTACATTGTGCTGACGAGTATTCAACAGCAATGAGTAACACACCTTGTGCTGCAGGGCGATGAGGTATGTCTTGGGCAGAGCAAACGGGTTGGCCCGCGTGGCCTGCTGCAGCAGTGGACTGGCACCGCCTCCTCCGCCTGGCTGCTCCTGCTGCGTCCGAAACGGAACCTGATTTGATGGCAACAGGGGAGGTGTGGGGATGTGATAAGCTTGATTCCCATCCCATACAAGGAAACTGCGTGGCCTGCTGCAGTAGTGGACTGGCACCTCCCCCTCCGCCTGGCTGCTCCTGCTGCGTCCGAAACGGAACCTGATGTGATGGCAACAGGGGAGGTGTGGGGATGTGATACGCTTGATTCCCATCCCATAAAAGGAAACTGCGTGGCCTGCTGCAGTAGCTGACTGGCACCTCCCCCTCCGCCTGGCTGCTCCTGCTGCGTCCGAAACGGAACCTGTTGCGTTGAGAAAGGAGAGGAATGGGGGGGGAAGGGGGCCGAGAAGAGGGGGAGAGGGGAAGGGGATATAAAATTAGGATTGAAGGGCCTGTGGACTGGCGGCAAACAGAGAGGCAAATGGTATAACTTCCATTTCAAAGCGATCCATGGGTGCCTTTTACCCTCTCGCATCGAAGGAGAGGCTGGGGCCATGTGGGCTAGGAAAACGACTCACCCCAAACAAGCAAGGGAAGCTGAACAAGCACTGGATGAGGTGACTGACTGACGTGACATGGCATGCCACTCACCACAAACGGCACTAACTTCTCAGGAGCATCAGAATCGCCGAATCACGGAAAAGCTGAACCAGCACTGGAACGGACGAGGTGACTGACATGACATGACATGACATGAG